TGTAGAGATCAGGTTTAAGAACTAAAGTTTAATACAATCGTTGTGGTTTACAAATTATTGATGAGTTTAGTTTAAATTTGTAATAAAGTTAATTGAACTATTTTTTATTAAAATTTTTCTTTTAGATGCTCTTTCGACAATAAAAATTCATTCAAAGTTGATGAAAGTGTATAAGAAGTCCGTATTTTCCTTATCACGAGTAAACAAGTTAACCTAGAAATTTAACTTTGGTCGTGTGGTCATACATGGAAGGTGATTCACATAAATGACGTCAAAAACTGTAGGGGCTGTTTATTATTCCGTTCGTACGTTTCACCTACGTTGATTGCAAGTTTTCTTATTATTTTGCATGTAATCTTTATAATCGTTAACGTCAATTAAGTTCGTATTTTAATATGTAAAATAAGACTACACAACAATGTGTCAATGATTCTGTTAACAATCTCACAAAGTCAACGTCTTGTCTGCTTTTTTTAAATAACTCAACTCAAAAAAATTATTTGAGGGTAGTAATAAAGTATTGTACTGGAAAGGTTTAGATTATTTAAATCCATTACTTCGTTATAGATATTTAAAAACTGTGTTGTTCTAGGAAAGGGAACTCCGCAGTGGACATAACGAACTGCTACTGGTCTGGGTGTGACTGAAAAAAGTTCACCGTATATAGATGATTATCACTATGAATGGGTTTGCTACAAGGATCCGTGCTAGTCCACTGCTGTTTAGGCTGTATATTGTAGACCTACCGGAAACAATCAAGCAAGTTGGGATACGCCGACGATTGGGCCCTAACTATACGACATACAACCGAAACGTCTGAGGATGCTCTAACGGCAAACTGACGATTAATGAGTAAATATATGCGTAAATGGACTCCAACCGAGTCACCATTTATGGACTGTCGAAAGGTTAGTTGCGTTCCTCTACAACATAAACCCTCTGGAAGGGAGCTAAACATACGGTTCGAAAATATGATTCTTACGCACACCAAAAATATTTGGGCGTGATATTATATTTTAAAGATCACCTAACACAGATTGTCGAAAAGTTAACATTACGAAACAACATTATTTAAAAGCTCTGCTCGGGTTTTTCTGCTGAACCTAGGTAGTAACAGCCTCCACTCTTCGCATTATTGCTTTAGAACTTAATTTCTAGATTACCGAATATTGTGCTCCAATTTGGATTAACAGCTCATATATTAAAAAGGTTTAGCTCAGCTGCTTTAGCATTTTGAGGATAATTGTTGGAGTAATCAAAACCACTACCAAGCAATGGCGATAAATAAGTGAAATTACATCGCCACACCTGTGACGAATGATTAGAAAAAATCATGGATAACAGTGTAAAAGAGACATTCAGCATTGTTAACGCATCCTTTGAAGAGTAGATTGTACGGCAAAACAAATATATGCGCAGTAGTTGCATAAATGGGACAATCAATCCCACGTGGTAACTTCGGAAACAACCAGACCATTAACCAGATTATTAAGAGTTTCACAATAGATTATATTAACAAAGTTGGTATTTATTTATAAACCTTCAAAGTTCGTTATATTAGCGATTTTATTGGTTTTCATGAATGAATTACCTTCGGATTGTGTGGAAAAGACTAACACAAATTCAGTTTTTGCTTTGATATGAGCTAACGCGACAGAAAACGCGTTAAGTGTTAATTTCATTTATTTCATTCTCGGTAGACCGTCATCTCTTTGATAGGCCTCGTATTTTAGAAAACATGACTAATTACTTAACGTCACACACTTGTGTGACTTAATAAATATAATTTTTCAATTACAACTGAATAATTCCCTTAAATACCAAATATAATTGCTAAGCCAATTGATTTTATGAATTTTTAATACAAACTGCTCCATTATTAATTAAGGACAAAGTAAGATTATTACACTTCAAGTTTTATATTTATTCAAGTAATTGCAATTTATGATGTCTTTCTTCTACCATTGATAATAGAACAAATTATTTGTATTAATATACAAATCTATTATGATTATACTGATTATCAAGATTACTCAACAATCAATATTGTTGATAAATGAGTATTTATCTCTATATAGTAAGTATCTATTGCAATAATGGAGATTACTTTGGTTTCAATAAACAAAAATGTCGAGTCATTCTTTAATTATTATTGATTTTACTGTTTGAAATTGAAACATTTTTCTTATTCTGTATAAACTTAACGAATTAAAATTTTGTGTCTCTGATATGGGTACAGTAGCGAATATAGTACTACTGAAGCAGATGTCCAGGAGGCCAGCAGTAGTAGAACCAGGAAGCCAAAGAGGATGACGCCAAAAAGTTTTTAGCAAATCATTCCTAAATGTCGATTGTGACGAGCAATTATTAATAAGTAAAATGTCACTTTTATCAGAAAAACAACAGTAAGACAGTAGGCTTTGGAAAAATGAGAGTTTTCATATTTCAGCGAAACTTGGATAATTCGAATCATAGGGGACCGTTAAAAAAATTCGAATTATCCAAAAATTCGAATTAAAAATATATCTACAAAAAACAGTGATACCTACAAAAACATCTTCAAACGATAAAAATCAACAATAGTTGACCATTTTTATTTTTTGCAGATGTTTTCGTTCCTATTCTTGCCCGAATTTTGTCAACCGAAAAAAATGGGCTAACGAACTACGGCCAAGAAATCCAATTAAAACATTTGCAAGCTATAAAAAAATGGAAAATAAATGGAAAGAAAAAGAAATCCTAAATTTTTAGCTGCTGCTTAGAATTTAGCTTCTCGGCAATGAAAAGATTTTAAGGTATTCTAAGGTGAACTAAAAATAGAGTGACTTAAGTCATTTTTACTTTCAAAGTACCATCTAAGTTGTTTAATATGATTCGTTACTTTGGCTTCACTGCAACATATTTATCCACATTGGCAAAATCTTTACAAGAGACGGCAGGATCAGAAATAATATCCTCCCAGCCTTTGACTAAAAGCAGCTCTTCTGTTAAAGTATCGTTAGTTTTTTCTGCGTTCTCCTCAGTTTTTACGAAACCAACTTTTTTAAACAATGTTGAATCGTTTCGGGTGTTACTTTCTCTCAACCTTTCTTACACATTCGAGAGGCTTGAAGAATGTCTAACTTTATCTCAAGGGAGTTGCAATCTTTCATCAATATGTTTTCAATCAACAAACGTCTGTTAAAATGTTTAAGATTTTTTTGATGCCCTGCTCCATAGGCTGGAAAACTGAAGTCATGTTGGCAGGAAAAAAATACCTTTTTCATTTTCCATTAGTGGGATAGTGTTGTAGGCCGTACAGTTGTCAATAACTTTTCATTTTTATTTTATGAACTTTTTGTCTAATTTCATCAGCCATTTCTCGAAAAGATCCGTAGCCATCCAAGCTCTTATACGCTCACATATTCCACTGGTTATGACTTGAAGTTCTTAAAACAACGCGGATAAGCCGACTTGCCAATCATCAGTAGAGACAGCATTTCTGATCCGTCCATGTTTGCACCAATTAGGAGAGTGACTCCTTTGCTTAGTTTTCCTCCGTGACATTTTTATTTTTAACTGCCAGTGTTTTGGCAGGAGTGCATTTAAAAAAGACCGGTCTCGTCAACATTGAAGATATCTCTTTCATCTATATCCTAAATCATCTCCTCCCATTTTTTTTCCATTCGTTGAATGAAATTTTTTTGCGTTCTTTGAAGCCGTCTAGCCACCCTGTACTCGCCTGAAAGTTGTTTTCCCCATTTCAATAACAAATTGTTCAGCTTTGCTTCTTATAAAGGGACCACTAACGGGAATCTTTTTATCCCTGGCTTGTTCGAACCATTTTAAAATACATTTAGGTTTTCTGGCTCCCTTAACATTTTTTGTTCTTTACCGCACTCAGTTTCACTCTTGAGATTTTTTTCTTTATTCTTCAAGTAGGTATATCCACCTATTTGAAGAAGTTGGTGTGAATTATCATGTGTTGGGAGAAATTCCAAATTCCTTGGAATCTCAGATTTTTTCTTTGACCCTTTTTCTACTTCTTTAACTGCCGCTATTTTTTCCGGTATCTTTCCGCTTATTTTTTGTATGTTCGAAGTGTACCAAGCGATATCTTCGCTCATAACGTAATGACATGTTGACGTGATTGCGGTGCTTGCAACTTCAACGCCAGCGCATCTTAACTGAATGGGCCCGCCGGTTGGGGGAGAAATTAGTTGCCAGATACGGGTACAATGTACAATGGTCTTGTATGCATTAAAACAAGTGGAGCCTGAGAACAGGAAAGAATACTACCTCTTTTCGCGGAAATTTCCAGCGTGAAATTGGCATTTTAGGTTGTAGAAGAGTTCGAATTATCCAAAATATAATTCGAATTATTCACGACTTTTTACCATTACTTATATAGGAAATGCTAGGGACCAGAATAAAAATTCGAATTTAAGAAAAGAAAATTTCAAATTAGAGAAGTTCGAATTAACCAGATTCCACTGTATTACCTTTTTAATCAGTCTGTGGCTGGTCTTTAATTTTAAAAATGAATTTTTTTGTACAAAAATTAACAGATGTGATCTGGGCATTAGGACAAAGTTCGAGAAATTACCTGCTTGCACCCACAATATATCAACAGCGTTATTCTGCACGGAGGAAGCGAAACATATAGCTTTTGAAAAATTAATAAACTGTTTTGTTTGCTTTCAGTCATGTATATGCAAAAAAAAGTGAGAGGACCAAAACAGTTATAAATGCAAAAAATGAATATGATGTTCTTTTAGCTACTACTTAGGATCTGCAGTTTCTACCTGATTAGTTCCTTTGATAATAATAAACTTTTTACGACAATGTGTATTTTATATTTTTAGTTTTGTAATCAGCAAAAATAGTTTGATTGATATGAATTGCTATTCATAAACACATACCAGTAATATTTAACAAAAAGTACAAGTTCAAACAGCAGTTGAACATTTTTGATAGTTCTTACATGATGGAGATTTTTGTAACAAAAGTGTGTAACTTACCGCATGTACACTGGAGGGGTCGACCAACCAAGCATTGTACATATCTTCCACATACTGGCCGGAGCTTCCATTTAAAAACGGTTCAGAAGCTGCAGGAACATTGTAACTTCTAGTTGGTGAATTCGTTATACAGGGTGCATTTTTCGCTAATAACCAAGTTGCAAATTTTTGGCCAGATGGACCAGCCATGGTGCTTAGTGTTCGATGCATGTTTCTATTTTACTGTAAAGAGAAAAATAGAACAATAATAAAATGAAGATAATAAATAAATTGACTAAAAATAATGTGTAATTATTGTAATGAAAGAACAAAGAGTGGTATTACAAGTTTTTTTGGTAGAAATATGTAGAACAATTCCAATTAATTATGGTACATTCCCAAAATATAAGCTAATTTAATTTGTATTCTGAGAACATTTACTGTGGTTGAAATTGACACATTAAATATAAAATATTTTAAATTATAATTGTTGTTTATCCCCTTAAATAGATTAGTTAATTTAAATATAAATCACCATTTAAATTTACCAAATAGCTTATACTGCACCAATCATTTTATGTCTTTCTATGTAAACCGGGCACATATAACTTTTGAAGATGAGGATAAGATTGTTATCTCCTTATATACACTTGTTTAACTGAAACTCATCTTTGGTCAGATTAGCATTGGAAGCAATGTAATCACTCAACTGATGTTCTGCAATGTTGTTTGTAAATGGCACCCTGATCAGTTCCTATTTGTATTTGACAGTGATTTCAAGTATTGTGACTTAAAAATGGTATTAGTTGTTAACAATCCAGCCAAATATAATCAGTGTGTGGTCATTCAATTTTTGTGGGCTGAAGATTTGCAACCATTGTAGATTCATACAGAAACACAAGCAGTCCATGTAAAGGTGTATTTTGAGTATCCAACTGTCAAGGAATGGTGTCAACAATTTAAGAGTGGAAGAGAGGAGACAAATGATAAGCAGTGATCAGGTGCATTGATTATTACATCAACACAGAAGTGTGACATGTATGGATGGCTTGATTACAGAAAATCGTTGAATATCAATCAGAGCAATTTCAGAAAATGTTGGTGTGAGTATAGGATCTGTCTATAGGGTGTCTCTGGACTATAAACGGTAGTCCTTAATTGTAGATTGTAACTGAACATGTCATACACATGCAAAAACACTAAATACACATGTACACCATGTTCAATCTGCAGATAACTAGACATATGTGGGCTGTGCTCACTGATCCTGAAGTATAGCACTATCACATCGTGGGATGCTTGGTAAAGGGGGGAAAGTGTTACCTAAGCATTGTCCCAGTAAGCTGGGGAACTCTGGGAGATTATGCATGGTATATAAGAAGAATATAAAGCAAACAAGCAGAGAGGTGATTCTAGTCACAGATTTTGTCTCTGCCTCAAACAGATCAAACCTTCAGCACAGTTGCTATGAAAAGATTTTATGTTGCCTTGATGCAAGAGTACTATACTTCATCTACATACCAATGCATGTCATTATCTACGTCAGAGATCAAAGTTGACATAGTTGCCAAAGTATAAAAAAATCCTGACTTCATTTTAAATCAAATAGATCACATAATTATTGCAAATGTATTTAGCAAAGCAATGTCAATTTATCAGTCTAATTTCTCTCTGATATTTTAATAAAGGTATCGGTGAAGCAATAACTGCTCAGCAATTGTCACATTGTCACTAGGCACATAATTTTTTTCACAGTTATCATTTTTTATTGTGAACATTCAGTTTTCTTTTAATATGTCTTGTCTTATTATAGATCATCAAAAGTCTCCAAAAAAGCAACTGTTTGATGGGCATCAAATTCTTGAATGACACATTTTTAATTATTCAAAGTTACTTTTTGAATACTTGTGATATTTGAGTCATAAATTTCTTTGTATATTTATTTATAAACTCAACAATTTTTGGCACTAGTAATTTTCCTTTTATGATGTCGAATTTACTAGTCCACATTGGTTCAATTTGGTAAAGTTCTTTTCCAACTTGATGGTTATCCTCTTCATTTATTTGCTTCTACTTCAGTACATGATTCTTGTATCTCTTCTGCGGGCTTATTTATGATATTGAATTGAAATCTTCTATGGGTAGTCATCATCATCCAGAAACTTCTCCTCCACCTCTTCCAACTACCTGCAATAGGTACCACTGACGTCATAAGCATCATCACTCACTTTTTGACATTGAAATGACAACCTGTAATTGTTTAAAATCAACAATTTATTTCTATCATATGTAACTTCAATTGTGACTGCCTCACATTTCCAGTATGATTTTCTTTTTATATAGACATGACTATGTTTTTCAATGTGCCTCCAGTAAATTGGTCGTTCCATCGTTTTTATGGTCTTCCTACTGATTGTCTTCCAATTTTGGAACAGTCTCTTGCCATCTTTGTATTTGTTGTCATTCAGCTTATATGATCGATCCATTCTACTCTTCTATTTCTTACCCAGTTCTTGATGCTCGCCACCTCGTATCTACATTGTATATCTGTACTTCTAGCTCTGTCACATAGTGTCTTGCAATCAATTTTTCTAAGTGTTTTCATCTCTGCTGTTTCTAACATCCTTTTTGTCCTCTCTGTATCAGGTCACTTGTCATTATAGGTCTGATGACTGTTTTGTAAATTCTGCCTTTCGTTTCTTTCCTGATATTTTTATTACTCCATATTGATTCATTTTGGCAGCCTGCGGCTCTGTTTGCTCTATTCACTTGATCTTCGGATCACTCTATTCACTTCAGTTTCGAGATTTCTGTAGCTAGATACTGTGATGCCTAGATATTTAAACTCCATCACTTGGTCTATTATCTGACCTTCCAGCTCCAATTACATCTTAGTATATTTGCTGTTGTAACCATGCATTTTGTCTTTTTTTAGGAAAATTAACATGTTAAATTTTACATATATTGTAAATCATCATCACTTTGAGAGAGTAGTATTGCGTTATCTGTGTAGCAGATTATTTTAAGTTGTTTTTCTCCCATTTGGTATCCTTGTTTAGTTCTTACTTTGTTTATAATTTCATAAATAATCAGGTTGAACAATAGAAGACTCAATGAATCTCCCTGTCTTACTCCATTGCCAGCTTCAATAGGATCAGTTAGTTCTTCTTCTACTTTTACTTTTATTGTGTTGTTTTGGTAGATATTTTCGATCGTTTTGATTATTCCTAGAAGTATCTCTCTTGTGTACAGTAAGTGGATAACATCTTTTAATTTGACCTGGTCAAATGCCTTTGTAAGGTCCACGAAACATAGATATGCCGGTTTGTTGTATTCTAATGATTTCTCTTGCACTTGCCTTATTATAATTCCAGTATGATGCACCCCAAAATCTATGCTTTGGTGGATTAGTAATATTGTGATTATTGACTTATCAATGACTATATTTATTACATAGAATTATGCCAATCAAGAATAATAAAATATTTATCTACTTCTAGTAATTCTAAGTGGTAAATTCATTAAGGGTTTTAATAAAATAAAACATCCCCTTGTCATGTCATGTACTCACTTTGGTCCCTTTTATTAAAATAATGAATATATGAATAAAAATGGGACCTTTTGATAGAAAAATATACATAGCTTTTCAAGATTTTTGAAGCCATATTGTTCCATGTACCCACCTGAGAGTTAAACAATCTTAACTTTTATTATCAACTTTTGGAAATAAGATAGCGGGATATTTTAATAATTAGAAAGTTTACATCATGCATTTACTTACTTTTCTCGCAATGAAATCTATCTATGTATATGTTTGAATTTGATTTTAAGACTTTGTTTATTTTGCCTCTGCGAATAATTGCAGCAATAATAAACTACTGAACAATTAAAAAAAAAGTTTTATGTTCCTGATCACAATAAGGAAGCTATTAAACTGTCTCAAAATAAAAATATCAACTTTCAAAACTTTATAATGTTCTAGCTATAAGTGTAAATAATTAAAAAAGTGTTAATTATCTGTCGTCAAAATTCTCTTCTTGTTAAATTACACCATATAAACTGATTGGTTAATAATATACTATTTTAAATATAATTTATGACTGAAGATTAACTTTTACTTTAGAGTTGTTTATTGTTGAAACCATTCCCTTTCCTATTTATATTATAATTATATTTTTTTTATAATCGAATTTTTTACATACTTAATAAATACATAAATTACATATTTATTATGTATCTTTTATCAAAATAACTATACCAAATCAGAAAATTTGGATTATGAAAAGCCTTACAAAGAGGAATATAAAAATGACAGTTTTGCATTAACGGGTCAAGCATTTTTTATATCTTATCAATAAACAACAGTCGAGCCTCCATGAATCTATCTTTTTCAAATAATTTTGCCTTCTGATGTAAGCAACCAAATAGAATGTCACGTGTGGTGGTCTAAATTTATCATAAAAATTTGGCACCTGTCAGAATATATCTAATGCAATTCTTTAAGTTAATTCGCCCAATATGTTACATAAAATTCGATACAATCAATTCATTACCTTGCCCTATATTCGGTGAGATATTGGATTAAAGCATTTCCCTCTCATTTCAATTCATATCACCTCAACCTAGTACAAGGTTCGTTATATAACAAGCAAATAATGCAGAAAAACTCAAAACAATTTGAAAAAACTAAATTGTGCATCTTTAGTAAAATATTCAGCTTACCTTTTTTATTTTAAATTACGATGTTAAACCACTATAGCACCACAAAACAAATCACTGCTATCCCCTTGCGATCTAAAATGATTTTGGATTGATTTATGAATTTGTGGCTGACTAAAACTTGACCTTGATTAACGAATGACAGTGACAATTTACGTTTGACAGTTTGTATGTTTGGTTGCATAATTTGAAGTCACACATACAAAATACAAAAATATTAAAAAGATTTATTTTAATATTTACAATCTGTACAAAATGGCTAATTAAACATTTGGTGTGAAAGTGATGAATGCATACACTATGTAGAGATATACTAAAGCCTCGCAGCATCTTCATGCATTTTTTTAACCTCAGCTAGATGCCTGTATCTAAAGCCAGTGGCTGGAGAGGAGGAAACAGCTCTTCCTACATACCTATATAATAAAAATAATAATTATTATATTTGAAATATGTGATTATTATTTTTCTACTTAAATTTATACTGTATACTAAAAAATTGTAAAATGAATTATAGAAATTAGAAACTTACGAAACTTCTCTAGAATCTTTTAATGATTTCAATATTGTCCTTAAACGCGGCTCCAAATGATCCCAGAAACCTTGGTTTTTATGTTCTTCTTGTAACCAACACACTTTTGCTTTAGGATATTTCTGAAGCTCTTTCTTCACCAGGTCAAATGGAAAAGGTGCCAGCTAAAATAAAATAAAATGTATGCTTACTTTATGTATATTAAATGAGGTGGCGGCCGACAAATTAATGTAAATAATTTTTTGTGTTCACTTGTTTAAGTCAAAAGACTCTTTTTGTTTATATAATTTACTGAGGAAATTTAGAGAACCGTATTGCTGTCATTGTTCTTCAGAAATGTGGAACAGAAAATGCTCGTATTTTTGAATGACTAAAACCGGTAAATATTACGAGTGTGTTTGTGTATTGTACTGTTAAATTGTTTTTGGATACAGGAGGAGTAAATGACCTTAACAGATCCAGCTGGCCTTGCGTGGCTCGTGCGCCACAGGTTATTAACGCTATTAAATCACAAATTAACAAAAATCCTTCCCGAAAACAAAAAATGATTGCTCGGGAAACGGATATTGCACCGAAAAACATGAGTTACATTATAAAATAAGACTTGGGACTTAAGGTTTTCAATCGATAAAGCGGGACATTTTAACAAATATAGTGGAGCCATGTTCCAAAATAGACCATGGATATCCCAACAAAACTCCGCACCTGCGCATAAGGCGAAAACAACTCCACAGACAGTGGCTTAAAAAAGTAAAGTTCGTGTAACCTTCTGAACTACCTAACATGACTTAGCGAGTACTGTCGTAGCCGCGACCGACGGCTTTACGTGCCCTCCGAAACACGGTGGCAGCTCAGTTAAATTAGAAACTGAAAATTTTGTCGGTGCCGCTTGTGGTTATTTTTAGAGGACATGGTCTGTACAAGATGCCACCATAATCAAGAGTCATTGAAACAAGCTCTGGTAGAAGTTATGGACAAAGTGCCTATGGATGTCGTCTATACAGCGATCGATGAGTGGCCTAAAAGACTTCGGCGCTGTATTTTTGTAGTTTGGAGTTTATTATATTAGTAATAAATTGTGAAAAAAAATTTAAATCAAATCAGTAGTTTAAATTTTTTTAGTTAAATATCTTGGATCAATATTTATGGCAATACTAATAGGTATATAGCAGAATGATAATATTGCAGAGCTTATTAACCCTTTAACGCTTAGTAATTACATTTTTAGCCACTAAAAATGCTCTGAATGCTCATATTATTTTCTAATAATAACAACATTTTCTTCAACAACATTTACAAATCACGATGTAGGCACGTGGAGTAAATGTGGCTAAAAATGTAGACTCCAAACGTTTAAGCATACTGTCATTGCGAATAGAGTTCATTTTCGGACAATTATCAAGTCGATTTCAACCTTAACATGGGTGGCTACTTATTTAGCCACTAAACATTTTGCTATTAGAAAACAGTGTGAGCGTTAAAGGGTTAAATACTGTTTTTAATAAAAATATTACGATTTCACAACCTAATATGTTCAAAATATATTTTTTAACGGACAAAGAAAGATTTCTTACTTGTTCTATACGAATCATGGCGATTTTAGAATCCACTTTCATTTTCCTAAGAGCATCTCTGACATCGTAAAATACCTTTCCAGAACAAAACAAGATTTTTTGTACTTCACCAGGTTTTTTATCATCGTCCGGAATTACTCTTCGAAATTCTGAACCTTCTTTCATATCATCCAAAGAGCTTCTTGCTTCGGGATGCCTTAGCAAAGCTTAAAATATTAGAGGATGTTAGTCTCGTAAGATGTTAACTAACTTAAATAAATAATGTTATTTATATAAATAAATAAAAAATACTGGGTGCGTCAAAAGCATATTCATTTAAATGGTAAATCTTTTAATATTTTTCGTAATCTATTAAGTAAATTAACTGGCAAAACCGGATAGTTCTAACTTTATTGGCTCTAAAGTTAAGTTATGGCTTCAAAGGAAAATTAAAAAAATATACATATCAAAATATTAGTAGGCACTACAAGAGCATTGTGATTAAAATGTCAAACAGATCAGAGAAATTAGTAAATAAAAAGCCTTTTCCGTGACACTCTTTAATATAGGTATCTAAAAGTTACTTTTGATAAATTTGGTGATACTTAAGAGTGTGAGTCAACGAGGAATCTGCTTTGTGAAACTATCTGCTACTCCAAAATGGTACTCTACTTTAATTTAATTTTCGCTCTTGTCTGTGGTAGCGTTTTTATCTTTTCTATGTTTGTTTCAAGCCCAAACTCCTTTATATCGCTTCTTCTACCAACACCCGGACATTCATAGTACATACCATGTTCTATGATAATGTCGGTAGGTTGCAAATTGTATTGATTGTTTCTTACGAGATTGCTTCTTTCTGTATGGAGACCGTTCCTTATTGTTGTTGAATCCATCACTACCGTTAATAGTCAGTTATATTTCGAATAGATATTTTCAAGTTTTCGTTGAAAAACTTGACCTGCATTATATCAAATTACTTCCATCGATACATTTTGTGAAGATAATTTTGAGCATGACCCAACGACACGATCTACTTAATTTAATCTGTTATCTAGAGCTCAATAATTTTGCTGATTGAGAATTATTTAAATTTTATTTCATAATAAAAGTTCAAAAATGTGAATAGAAATGTTACACAGAATGATCCACATTAATTTTTTAAAATGTAAGACTTTTTATAATATATCCATGTTTATTATATTTTTTACTAGAAAATAAAATGAGCCAATTTAAACGTTGAAAAATAAAAAACGTCCGGAGCTATTTGAGATGAGAATACAATGAACGTAGATCGGCAACTAATCTTCAACAAAAAGGACAAGAACACAATAAAACACTCCGTCTATAAAGCAACTTCATTGGTTTAAGTACTGTTACGATAAATAATGACTCATAAAACTGTAAACATTCTTTTTCATTCTGATATGTTCTAGATCTTCCGATCGAAGCCGGCAGAAATTCTTCGGGTCCCCCTCAGCGAAAAACCAGTCCGGTGACCTTCTAGTCTGTTCGAAGGGGATCGCCGGAATTCTAGTCTAACAGTTATTTAGTATAAATATAGAGGAACCTTTTATTTAAGTTACAGTTAGTTTTGAATATGGAGTCGAGTTTTTAGTCCGAAAATAAAATTGTATCGAACATAAATTGTATTAAATGTAAAAATAAATTAGTGTGATATTGTATTAATAAAGACTTTAATAAATTTGTAAGTGTTGTAAAAGTGTCGAATCTTTTATAATAAATAAAGACAATCAATTAGATTAAATAAAAACAGTTCAGTACCTTTTGGTGTCATCATCATCAATGGTTTTCTAAATGGCAATGCCATCTGTCTTCTTAGCGCGTGGAAATGATTAGCAGGGACGCTGCAGTTAGTGATGATCCAGTTAATTGCCTTGAACTGCTCAAGAAGAGTTTGTCCTTCTTTTGGCATCTCATCTGGATCTTCCGACGCCATGTCTAACAACCTTTCTGGCCTACAACTAGAATGTTCTGGACCAGCGCCTGTAAAAAAACAAATAACGCCTGTTATAGTCTACAAAACATTGAAAAATTTACAAACAAGGAAGAAAAAGAATATTGCATTTATAATTTATTTTGTAACGCGAACAATTTTATTGAGACAAAACATTGAGATTATTAAAAATATTATTCATCCACTACAGATGATCACCATACAAATATAATAAGACATAGGTATACCTTATGCTAAATAATTCAAGTTGTCTTACCTTCCATTCCGTGGGGCAATTGTACTATGAATCCAGACTGTCGCGCCCACTTATCTTCCGAACTTGAAACCATTTGATCGAAAATTGGTTGAGCGGTATTGGAAAAATCGCCAAATTGAGCTTCCCAAATGACGATAGCATTAGGATTCACAAAGGAGTATCCGTGTTCGTAACCCATTACAGCATATTCGGCTAGAGTACTGTTGCAGACGGTATAGGAGGCTTGGTCTGGGTAAAGGTGCTGCAATGGACTATAATCGCAAAAAGTGTATATTTAAATACATATGAATGTGAAGATTTAAAAAAAATATGTTGAAACTAGAACTAGTTAGCTTATCTTCCTAATTTTTTTAATGTATGATCTAGTTAACTATTTTCGCTACAGATGAGTAACTGTTTCACCTTGCTAACAGTTATATCTCGTTTTACTCTACATTGTCACAATTTGGTGTTTAAACTGACAAAAAGCAACTTTTATGTTGTTTTGTACATGAAGGTGATTAGCTGTCATTTTTATGTTTGTATTTTTAATTATATCACTTATGTGTGTCGTTTTTGATGTATTTTTCATTTTAACTTCGTTTTGGCTTGAGTTTCATTTCAGTCTTTACTTGGTTGTGTCTAGTCATTTCCTCATTACCGAGGGACTGATTTCCTACCATACGAACAACTATCTCTTTTCATCGGCTTATCCGATAGTTGTGGTAATAACGTCATTAAAACTGTAGTTAAATTATAAAATGTTATCTAAAGAAGTAATCCATTGGGGTTAAGTCAGGGATCTAGCAGGCCAAGAGTATCTGTGAATCACTTTTTCATTAAACATATGTCCAAAATATTTTTCGGTTATTCTGACCGTAAAGAATCCACTCAACAAATCAAAACTGGTGAGGAACTACAAATATATCCTTAAAAGTCTGACAAAGTCTCTTTAATATACGTAGGTGCCGCAACATGAAGGGTTGATTGATATTGTTAAGAGCCACATACACCTGATTACGGCTCTGTGCGTTAGAGAAGCCCAAAACTCTGACTTTGGCGTCAAAATATTCCATGAACTGATTATATCGAAAACAGTAAGCTGTTTTCCAGACAGTTTATCAATTAAGCCAGTAGATGGGGTAGAAAATGTGTTTTTGTGACCAATTATTTAAAACTTACCAATATGTTTCACTTGCTACGTCTTGATGGTGATAAACGTGATGCCTGTGTGAAAAAGTTCCTCTTTCGACATCTTCACCCGTCATTCGTATTGGAATACCTTCTTTTAAAAAGGCACCAAATGCACAGGCCTCACCCATAGACCAGTCGACCAGTCGTTTACTATGAAGGTCCTGCCTTCCTTTCAACACTCTTTCAAGGGCTTAAAATAATTAAGGTTATGCGTAATTGTATAAAATAATACGGTTGAAGGAAGAAAATATTACGGTTGACTCCAAATACAAATCACCCTTAGATAGTCCAAACGGATTTTACATAAATTCTGCTTTAAGATGGCAAAAATTTTTTGTTTACAAATCACTTTTGTTTACAAAATACATTGTGAAAAATAATTTAGAAAGCGTACCCGTTAATGAACTTATTATGTTATTTCCTCCTTTTAAGAAAGAAGAGAATTTCCTGTACATATTTTTCGCACTGAAATATTTTTAACATTAAAGTTAAACCTTCCAATAGCGACCACTCTCGGACATCGAAAGCTGGTCGCTAAAGAATAGTGGTCGTTAAAGAGAGAACATAGGAGAATTAAACCAACTGATCTGCATTTTAAGTTATTTATTTACATATTAAATATAATATATAATAGTCTCCCTTTATACAGCTAGTGTGGCTTTGGGATTATAGCAGTGTAGTCTGCTATCACTTGCTGTATAGTGCTATCCTCCAACCGCTTATTATTATCTCTGGTATTATCCCTAGTTTGACCCAAGGTACTCATTTTATTCAGGATGAGTAGAACTGGCGCCTATAGATATTTTAAAAATATCTAGATGTTCCCCCCGGCGCGCGACGCTGGGCTTTGATCCCTGGCCTTCGGCGTGCAAGTCAGAAACTCTACCGTTGCATATTTTTTTGGACATACTGTATAGTAAGATTTTTACTTTTTGAAACATTCGGAAATTATTGATTGGTTCATAAATTTCAATTTATTTTTAAAGAATTCAGATTCACATTTTATTAGAAACTTAGAAACATTTGTGAACATGTCAAAATTGTTCTCATTATTAAAAAAAGTTTTCTAAATCTCTGAGACTTACACAGGCTTCAGAGAAGCTTGATATAGCGGTAGTTCCATTTATTTCTTGTATTTTCAATACGTCGTCCTTGATGGTCAATTATCCACTTTCTGTTAGCACATCAATATCAATCAAGGCGAATTGTTTTAAATTAACTAGTGTATCTTTGATGGTGAGAAATAGTTGTACAAGTGGAATAATTTTTCTTTTCTTTAAAACCATTTGTATCTATATTATACATAAATCCGGCTTTAGCAAAGTATTTTTTTTATTATCATCGGCGATAAAGTAAGCCAAACCACTGTAACCCATGTTTATGCATTGGCGGGAATTACACTTTAAATTGGTCATAAAAACCAACAAATGAGCAAAGAAGTTGAACCCAAACTAAAAGAAGGTTCACCAATATGGTATACGGATAGATCTAAGATAAAAGGACAGGAGTGGGAGTTACTGAGCACATTTTCAGGTTGTCCAAATCTTTTGTAAACGCCCCAACTATCTTTCAGGCAAAAATACACGCTATAGACATTAGTGCCCAATAATATCTTAACCGAGACACTCGTAGACAGCCAAGCCGCCTTAAAGGATCTTAAGTCATTTACTTTGAGTCAAAGTTGGTTTAGGACTGTAAATGAGGACTGGAGGGACGCAACAAAGTAACTTTGATGGAGATGCCAGGTCATAAAGGAATTGTAGGAAAGCGGACAGCCTCGTAAAAAAGGCTAATACCCCCTTCCAGGATCCAGAACCCTTCTGTGGATTATAGAAAAGCCATATCAGAAAGGAACTCCGGGCCTAGGAACTCGATTAACTAAGATTACATTGGTCTAATACACCATGACAAAGTCAAGCAAAAAGGCTCATAAAAGTGTCGCCTATTGCAACAAACCGCCTTCTCAAAATGACAAAAAAGGTTTCAAAATGGTCACTGGTCTTCTCACTGCTCACTCTCCTCTGAGATATTATCTCAAAAGAATGGATATATTGCGAGAACTGTCGTTTTTGTGACACAGTTATGTCGTTTTTATGTCTTTTATGTAAAAAGAAGCAGATAAACATATATTATGCAACTGCGTTGCACTGTTCTGCAAATGACTAAAATTCCTAGAAGAGGTCAGTTTAGCGCCCTCTGACATAGGACATATGACCTAGGAACCTAATCAATTTGGCCTTTATGACCTCACCTAATCTCTATATCTATCTAAGACTTTGGTTATGGGAATGTTTTCTTTATTTGACAGTTGCCAACCACTGCCTGTACAAGTTAAAAGCCTGTTAATAAAGTAGCTTTTATAAATCATTTTAAAATTCTGGATAATGCCTTGTTGGAGGAAGAAAATTAAATATAACATTATCAAGAAAAAAAGGGTGATTTTACACTGTAATCCAGAAATTTATGCAATATGGCCTAGGTTATAAAGGGCATCCTCAGAAGCAATCTTCCAGTTCATTCAATAAAAAATGTTTGGTTATTGTTTATTTATGAGCGTTTATATGTGCAAAATACATATTTTTTGAGTTTTTTCATAATTTGCCTAAAGTAAGTGTTGTAATGGGTACTTTCTGTATAGATTATGAAAGTACTCAAAAATACCTTCAATTTGAGCTGCTATACGTTCGGTTTAATTTATTTGTTATTGCAGAAATGACGAATGAAGGTCAAAATTAAAAAACGTAATATTTATTGCAAAATTGCTTTTTTTATTTCAAATATATTACTCTCAAGCCTATAAAATTACGAATCGAATGAGCCATAGTAGGCCTAGATCGCTTAATTTGTTGCTGAGATACGTTAATTAGTTTATCCCACGACCTTCAACTTTGAATGCTCATAGGATTGCAAAAGAATGGTAGAGAGCTAATTCTTGTTTAATTCTCTTCCTAAAGCTGTACATTTTCATATTCTACTGGAAAATAAAGAAAAAGTTTTTTTTAACCTGTTTAAAACAATTATTTATGAAGTTGTAAAATTGCAGTTATAAACATTTAGAGCTGCAGCGCCCCCTATGTTCCCTTACAAATTTCTAATTTGTAGATTATTGTAGCTGGCTTCGAGAAGAAGATTAAAAAAAAAGAGTTTTCTATGACCAATAGGAACCGAGTTAGCATATTTTTTAAAAAAATCACAGAGGCTTTATTAATAAAAATAAAGAAACGAATCTGGCGAAGCTCGAAAAAATTTGCAATATCTCGGTGAAAAATGAACCGATTTCGATGATTTTTTTTAATCTGGGGTAGCTCGTCGACATAATAACATCTGGAATATGTCACTCTCACATTCATTTTTGGCATCATCTAGTTCACATTCAGCAGTATGACAATTTTCGTAACTCCATTAAATTTTACAATTTTCGCACATTCTCGTACATTTTAAGCCTCTGTGATTAAAAAAACATGCTAACTCGGCTCCTATTGGTTGTAGAAAACTCTTTTTTTTTTAAATCTTCGTCTCAAAGCCAGCTAAAATAATCTGCAAATTAGAAATTTGTAGGGTACATAGGTGGCGCTGCAGTTCTAAATGTTTATAACTACAATTTTACAACTTCATAAATAATTGTTTTTAACGGGTTAAAAATTTTTTTCATTATTTTCCAGTAAATTATGAAAATTTACGGATTTAGAAAGAGAATGAATTATGAATGAATGAAAGAGATTAAATTGAACGTATACCGGCTCAAATTGAATTTCTGTTAGAGTACTTTCATAATCTATACAGAAATTACCCATCACAAAACTTACTTTAGGCAAAAAATGAAAAAAAACTCAAAAAATAAATATTTTACACTTATAAACGCTCATTAATAAACAATAACCAAAAATTTTTTGTTGAATGAACTGGGGGAGTGCTCCTGAGGTTGCCCTTTGTAACGTAGGCCACATTACATAAATTCCTGGGTTCGAGAGTACTTTTTTCCCCACAGCCTGGGCTAATATTGATTTATAAAATTACTAACTTGCAATAAGTAATGGGTAAGTACCCGCGTTTATCTTTGAAGCAGTTATAGTTTATACGGCAATGTATATATGGAGTCAATTTTGGAGTGCGAAATAAAAATGAATGATACTATGAACTATAAAAAGTAAGTGCAAAAGACATAAGTTTGAGAAAAAAAAAATAAACAAAAATGCAAGTGCAGTTATGGATGATAAATATTGAAGTCTTCAGAAAAAATTGAATATTTACATTTAGCAAGAGCAAACTTTGCTGAAGGTGGTGGATGATTTGATACAGTTTTGCAGATATGTTCCAGAACTGCCATTGGAACACCAGTTGGTAGTATTTTCGTAGTGTCTTTACCTGAAAAAAATTAGTTCATAATTGTAGAAGACTATATCATCTGCATCCTAAGTTTAGAATATGTTAAACCAAAAGAGTCCAAAAGAGAGAACCAAAAGAGTCCAAAAAATGATGCCTTTTGGTTTTATGCATCATTAATAGGTGTTATCAGCAGATTAGCATGTAGGTTTTTGGCTGCGTTGATAGTCAGTCCAAACAATCAACTTTTTTTACGTGGACTGAAAATCAGGCAGGTAGGGGATCAATTGAAATAGGTTCTGCATTTGTAAATGATTTGGATTTTTAAAAGTACAATAATATTACGACACTTTGCATCTTTTGCGATTAATGCTGATGCTGTGGACAAAACAAAAACTCCCTAATTATTCATTCGCTCTACTTCCGGCTTAGATTTAAAGTCAGGGTTATTCGTATTTGCCAGAAGACAGGATATTTGGTAGAGTAGAAAATTTACAAACAAATTGGAGTTGGTAAAAAGGTAGGCACTGATTGGAGTTTGTTTAATATGAAAGAGTTTTAAGTTGGCGTGAAAAAAGTGAAAGCGCTTGCCAATACAAAGAAGATTAAAATAAAAAAATTTAACAATGACAAATTCATAAAAATACGATCATACCAAAACTATAATTTTATCAGTGTGTTGGAAAATTTTGAAAAACTTTTGAAACCAAAATTTTCCGATATTGAGTTGACCATCTCAGAAAAAGAATTGACTCTAGGTATCCGAGAAAAGAAAAAAATCCCTTAAACACTTATTAAAGCAACAGTTCAATAACGATTGGAAGAAATTACAAGAACTTGACTGGTACCTTGAATTGCTTAATAGCAAAAGTTCAAATCAAAAGGATGGGGAGGAAGACGAAGGGGAGGCATGTGACTGCCTGGAAGAGGAACCAACGCTTCAAATTTGCTTTTACTTTGGTCAAATTGTTAAAACACTTATAATAAAAATCATTTTCTACATTCTAGTTCGTTTATTTTCTTTTATTAGCAACAAAAATATGATGCTCTCGTAAAGATATTTCAGGCAAAAACCGATAACTTTCTGTTTTCAATCAAAACCCGGTAAATTAAGAAAAAATCATTAATGAAAACAGTAAAAAAAGATAATACATATATTAAAATTCTAGAATTTTATTACATGACTTCTACTATTTATTTCCAATATGATGTTTCTTTAAATTGTTATGGGATTTTGCTGTGCAAGTTTTTGGCTTTTATCTCAAAATTGGAAAAAGTGGGTTTATCGGCTTTTGCATGTATGCTCCTCAATTCTTTCTTGGCAGATATTACGTTTTTCAATTTTCTTGTTAAGTTCTTTTTATCTCATCACGTTTTTTTTTGACCTCATGTCTTCTTTTACAACAGTTAAAGTATTACGTGTGTTATCCAAGTTGTTTTTTTGTTTTTACCAAGTTCTTCTTAGCACATATTCGGATGTGCTGCGTCTAAAACAGCATTACACGTATTTATTTATTAAATAAACATAAGCGTATAATATAAAACCTCTACATTTAAATAAGCCATTTTTGTTACTATCATGTCATTCACCGACAAAGGTTTTATTTTAAAGATTAAAACTATAATATTCTATTTGCTTTCAAAAACTAGTTTCAGTTTAATTTTTTTAGTTTCAGAGTTATCTTTCGAAAGGTTTAACATTTAATTGTAATATATTAAAAAAATATTGTTATACCACACCTCTTTCTGGACCAAAGGTCCGGCATTTTTGAAGAACACTTTTTTATCGCAACGGAAAGACTTCTAGAATTTCTCGTCACCTATAACCAGTTCCAGAAATTACATTTTCATTATATATACAGCCAAGACGACCTTTGAAGAGTAATATTGGTGAATTGTTTTGTAAGCGAGATCAGTATGAATTGTAAGCGATAATTATTAATGTAAGTAGAGTTTGTCATATTTAAATGTGTAATTAAGTAAGTTTTTTGAAGTTAAAAAAAGTTAGCTAAACCACGTTTGCTTCACTTAATTTATGAACCCACAGAAAAACGTAACATTATTTTAAAATAATGATCAGTAGACTTCGGAAAATATGCAAATAAAAATGTAGAAAATATGCGCATAAATATGCACGTGTTTACCCGAAAATATGCAAATATTTTACAAAATATGCATACAAATAAATAAAAAAATCGTAAAATAGTAACAATTTTATTTAAAAAAAAAAGTGTACATAACTAAATATTTCCTACTATTCATTAAGATTTACATTTATTTTGAGTAACTACATCATTTTTAAGTATGAATAAACTTATTTAGAATTATGGTACCAATAAATGACCAAGTGGTGTTCAAAATTTTCTAACAAAAACTTGTGGCTTCTGTCTGAGTACATATATTTATATATGGGAAAACTTCGTTCAACATCAACTGATGTAACGGGAGCATTTTTCAAACTAACCAAAACATTTGGTTCTAAATTAATTGTTTCCGAAATATTTCCAGCTAGAACACTGACTACTTCAGAAAGAATATGGTAACCTTTATTTTTTTCCATAGTAGCTTCAAATTTTTTTAAAATATCTTTTCCAATATTACCTCTAACGTTCCGATAACATGACGCAAATTCTTTTATTAATGCTGTACTTTCGAACAATGACAGTTTTGGTGATTCTAACTGAGTAATTGTTTTTTGAACAAAACTAAAATTTGATTTTATAAATGAAAGTTCTTGTTGAAGCAAATTACTCTGAAAAGTTTGTTTAGAATCCAAAAGAGATTGGGAAGTTTCATCTGTTAACGTATCAATTATGTTCTTTATTTTAACAAAATGATCTGCATAAAAATTAGCTGCTTCTAACCATGTTCCCCATCGCGTTAAAATAGGTTGTGGTTGAAGAGGAATGTTAGGTAGCATTTCTTTATAAAGTTGAATTCTTATATGAGATTTAAGAAATACTTTTTTGACACTGGATATCATGGTATTCACAAGAGGAAACTTTTTTCGTATTTCCTCTGCAACTCTGTTTAATCCATGCGCTACACAAGTAACATGTATTAAATCTGGGAAAAATATTTTTAAATTTTGTCCTGCTTTCACTATATAAGGAGCAGCATCTGATAAAATAAGCAGTAATTTATTAGAAGGAATAGTTGTCGGAAGAAAAAAAGTTGCTAATGTTTCTTGTATAAAACGCGAAATTGTTAAAGCATTTGTTTTCTCAAGTTGCTGGCATGAAATAAGATGAGATTTTGGTAACGTATCTTCTTTAAGAACACCAATCAATAAATGAGCAATATACTTTCCTGAGGAATCAGTGGTTTCGTTACAGATATGTAAAAATAATTATCTGCAATTTCTTCCTTAATATTAATTAACACCGACGAGTATAGCCCGTTCACATTATTTCTTCTTAGAGACCGATCACTTGGAACATTAAGTTTGCAATATTTTTTTAGAAACGAACTAAAATTTACATTTGCTAATTTTGAAAGCGGTATGTTTGCAGACACTAATGCGCGACACAAGTCTTCATTAAAAGTTTCTTGCTCATCTATTTTTTTTTAAGTAGATTGGAAACATTTAGCCATTGAAGTTTCATGTTTTCCTCCTATTTTTCCTTTTTTTTGCAATGTGTGAAGCAGTTTTCACATGTTGGTCTATCTGAAATTTCTTCTCACATGCTATCTATAAATAAAAATAAAAACCTTTATTTTAACCCAACCTTTAAAATATAAAAATATACAAGGTGTTTTTGGTTAATCAGATAACTGATTTGGAAAAAAAAACACTCGCTAAGTGTTTCAAATGCAGTATTAATCCACAAATTAGTTTTTGTTACTAACCATTAGTACATCATATAACTTATTTTAAAATTCAACAAAAGTTTTTTTTTTGTTAATTCAATTACAATAAAAATAATTGTGTTTTAGAATAGCTGACTTCATAAAAAAAAGTAAAGGTGAAACATTTTTCTAAATACACACCATTGTATTGTACCATGGACAATTTTTTCTCACTAAAGGAAGCTATTTTTCATTTAAAAACAACCTACGAGTACTAAATTTCAAGTAAATACGTTTATTGGTTTTAAAGTTATTGTTGTTATTAACTAAAAGAATTTAATTTTTTTTAATTTTAACACCCTGTATCTCGAAAAGTAAATAAGTTTGACCCCTCATTAACTATATCGTTTTGTTCAATTTTTCGAGAAGTATCTACAGTCAAACGTTGTAAGTGTCATTTGGAAACACCCTGTATGTATGAAATATTACATATTTAATAGAAAATATTAGATACTTACAATTTTGCCACAGACTGAACAGTAGATTTTTCCCATATCCATAGACAGCTCTTTATAAGGTTTAATCCAAGTTGAAGCACTGGTTGTTTTAGTCATTATAAAATCACAATCTTCCTTTTTGTTACGCACAACGAGTGTTTACGCTTTGAATATCAAAACAAAAATGATTTACAAATCTGAGCATCAAATTAAAAATGTTTAGGTACTTAATTCAATAAACTGGGAGATTTTGGAAAATCCCTAAATTAGGAACAAAACTATTAGCCGTTTACCTGCTGTTAAGATACAATAAATTGTAGATAGATTTGGGGATTAGATCATAAAATGCAAATGAGCGAACCCTTAGCGATTATCCAATAACTGAATGCCTCAGTGACCGAGACTTTTTAAGAATGTTGAGGGCTACTTAAATTGATCTTCTTTAAAATTGTAAATGTTTTGTACTTGTAGAGATTACGTACTTAGATCATTTCTTGATTAAAATGACTACAAAATTTTATACAAGAATTGAAATAAATTGGTATGTTTAAAAATTTCCAAATACAGTATAAAAATCTAAACTTTTATGCACTTTATGCAAACTTTTATACAAATATGCCAAAATATGAAATATTTGCATAAAATATGCACAATATGCAAAATATGCAATATGCATATTTGCCGAAGTCTAATGAACAGTAAAAATAAACCTCAAAAACGACAGCCTGACGTAACTCGTCATAAATATTCACATAGTCAAAAATATAATCACATAGCAGGGAATATTCATATTAACCTTGATAAAATCCTTCCCATGGAGTATCAAGCCAATCATGTAGACTAATATGTTTTTCGTCTTTTGCCTTTTGGAATTCTTTTTCGAGCATCCCCAAGTACTCGTCTTTGCTAGCTTTTAGTTCCTGTGCTGACATTATATTTTCTTTTAGAGCTTTCGCTTCATACATTTCGTAGCATGTTTTCATTTTGGCGATTCTCTTGTACAGTACCGGTTGAGTAAAGGTGGGATCGTCGACTTCCTGGTGACCATGTCTTCTGTATCCCACCAGGTCGATCATCACGTCCCTGTGAAACTTGTTTCTCCATTCGGAAGCTACCTTAGCTACGTGGATGACTTTTTCTGGTAATCGGCGTTGACATGGAAAACTGGAGCATTTATGGTGCGACCAATATCTAAAAGAAAAACGCAGATTATAAATGAACAGAATTGGTTATAAAAGAGATATACGAACAAGAATTAAACTTGAAAATTTTAAAAGTAAACTACACTGATTGAAGACAATTTATTTAATATCATAAAGATACTTTTTATTGTTTAAATTATAGTAATCAACTTCAAATGTTAACATTTATGTAACACATAAATGTCAACATTTTCTTTAATTTTTTTAATTTTATGTAATAAAAAAAGTAAAATTAAGAGATCGTGATATACGATACACTTCACTGTTAGATTTTATTATTTTTAGCTATACAGTTATAATGATGATGGTGATAGAAGTAATTTGGTACTGTAGCAATAGTTCCTCTGAGGACACAGTTGTGTAAAGTGTGTAGCATTTACAAATTCTTTGAAATATATTGAAATCCCCTCGCATTTGCTAAAGTGTCAAAGAATGATTTCGGTGTATTTCTCTTTACTTTCGTGAAAGTGAAAATACCCAAAAGTGTTTTCAATCATTTTATTTGCATTGTTGGATGTTAATGTAAACCATTTTATAATTGTGTATATTTCGCAGCTGCGTATGTTCCTCGATATTTCTTTGTTCAAACCGTCCGATACTGCGTTTTCAAATTAATAATTGCGTCATAGAAATAGTATATCTACGTTTCAGTTCCCGTTTGTGTTTGTTTATACCCAGCGTTTTGTTTATTCCAACTTATGTGAATTAATTTTAAAGATAATTTCATCGCTCTCGGTAAAGCCGGCCGCTGATCAAGGAGTGTTTAGTTTTTTTGGAGTCCGAATTTATTTTCGACAGTAGCAGTTGGATGCTTGGTATTGAGCAGTTTTACAACAGTTATTGAAGATGGCCTCATGTTGCCATTGTGCTGTGCCTGTTCCAGTCTTTGAAGGAGACGAGTTTTCAAGGTTTGTGTTCCAGCCGGTGCTGACTTCCGCCCTCATCCTCTTATCCCTGGTCGTCATCCCCGATCTGAGCCCAGTATAATTCCAGCATGATTCCAGTTCCCGACCACAAACATGCAGAGTGGAATTTAATGAGATTCAGGTAACTTTTTCTGTGTCTAAATTTTAAATTCAAGATAGACATTTAAAAAAAATATTTTCTTTCATTCTTTAAAAAGATAATTTTTTATTTGTAAGTCTTTTATTTGTAAGTTTCTGTAGCATCTCCCGAGTTTGTAAATAATTAGAACACATGTAAGTTTTCTTTATTATTTTGGTATGAATCTCTGTAACTAATATAGTATTTTTTGTGCTATCTGTATTTGTGTAACTGTTTGTGGTAAGACACAATAAATGCTCAATTTTTTTCTTAACATTTTGTTTATTTTTTAACTAACCCTTTTTCATTTGAAAAAGATATGCTTTTCATTTTTAATAATTATTTCGATAGTTACAACTAATTGTTGTAATAGTTATAATTAATCAAATCAAAGTGGCGTCCTTTTTAAATTTCTAGAGGTGTTTCCTGTTTCCTTTCTGTGTTTTATTTTATTTGTCCCAAGAGATTCATGAATCTTTGTTCCATATTTTTGTAGTTGCCCCAATCCAACCCCCTTTATATTTACTTATCCACGACCCCAGCTCTACAAACAAACCCTGAGTGCCGTTCGCACAAGTATCGATTATTTTGCTTGCCCTATCTCAACCCCCTTAGTTTTTGTCCCCAATTTTCTACCCCTAATAGTAATACCCCGTGTGGTGGGCAAAATATTTTCGTTACAAGTGTAATATTTATTTTAATCCTTTTTGAGATGTTCTGTGTCATTGAGTGAATCAGAATGACAGATGATTAGAAATAGAGGTTAAGATAAAGAGGTTATGGTGCCGAAGCACTTGATATAGGTAATGGATTTTGACAAGAGCTATGTCCTTGTAAATAACAGGTAAACTTGTGTACTACACCGGCATGACGCATAGCTCTTGTCAAAATCCATTACCTCTAGAAACGTGCAATGTCTAAGTAGTATCTTTGATATTGAGTATAAAATAAAGCTAAGGAACAAAGAGTTTGAGAGTTTTAATCAACAATCCGACAAGAATAATTTACCTGTACAATATGGTGACGAACCGGCAACTGCCCGATCAGTAGTAAAACCAATTTGATTGTTTGCAACTACGTGGATAATTCCATGAGTGGTGTAACAAGGCAGTTCAGACATGTTCATTAATTCAAAATGTACGCCTTGTCCTCTTACCGCTGCATCGCCGTGAATTAGAATAGCCATCACCTGAAGTAAAGAAAATACTGTGGGGTCAAATGTTAGCTAAATAAGCGTGAAGAGGAGAGAGAAAGTATTCGGATAAAATTAGGTAAAGCACCGTTATGTATTGCATCGTAAATCGTTGCATCGTAAAGTTTCAATATAGGATCAGCCAGTTTCTTAAACTTTCGGGGTTCCGAGAAGTCTTTCGGGGATTCCGAGAAGTTAAGGGACATAGGTCTTGTATTTTTAAAAAAATCTATTAATTTTTTTATTCCATATGAAAGTATAGTAATTCAAAACTATTAACAACAAATGTGAAGTAAATTATAGCAATATTACCGGAGTTATAGAGATTTGAATATCGCGCGGTCGATAGGTATATACAAGCATTTATATATGCTATCAGTTTAAAAACTTTAAAACTACAACTTGGTTTCGCCGTGTGGTAGATACGATTTCTCGAAAACAAATCGATCGATTTTGCTGAAACTTTGCACAGTTCATCTTCATAGTATAGTTTCGTGATTGAACGAAGGGATTTTCAATCGGCGACTCGTTCTTGCTTTATACGAAAAAAATTATTTAAAGACGTTTATTTTAATTTATTTTTCAATCACTTTTTGTTGAATGACAAGTTTATTTATCAGAAGTATTTTTTGGTTCTTTTTTATCCAACGAAATCCCATTTTTTGATTACTTTGCGCTAACACCAAACAAGCCACTTTTCGCTTTTCCTACTATACAGATCGATTAATTTTTTTATTATTATATGATAATACAAAAAAAAATTAATTTAAGGTTAATTGGATTTAGAACTGAATGTTACCCTATCTCCATGGATGTCCCCTCTGAAAAATTGTTCAGCGCGTGTTTTTCCAACGGTTGCTGGAACGGCACTACCTAAATGGGAAGGGTTAGCCAGCACGACGAGCTTGACGTGTTTATTTGTTTCTCGGTTCATCCTAAAAACAGTATTTTGTTTAATTAAATGAAAAGTAAAAGAGAAAATACCAAACATTTGTTTGGTGTTTTCATACAATAATGATCTGCTTACTTAGACTAATATATAAATAAATTTAATTTTAACTTCTATCAAGTAAGATTTATTCAATGGAGTTTCTATATAAATATTATATTATTATACGAATATAAATTCGAACGAGGGATGTTCCAGAGATTCATAAATGGAGAATAACTCCAAAAGTAATGAATGCAAGTAATAAAATAAGAGACAACGTTACGCGAAAACGAGTATCTAAGCGTAATATCATCAATAATTGCAAAATTGGTGAATACAAGGTTGACTTTACGACAGATAGATTAATGAGAAACATCATCATCATCATCTTGGTGCTACAGCCCTTAGAGGGCCTCGACTTTCTCAAGCTTTCTACGCCATTCTGTTCTGTCCCTTGCTTGAATTTTCCAGTTGCCGACTCCGATCTTCTCCGCATCTTGTGTTACCCCATCCATCCACCTCAGCTTTGATCTACCCCGTCGTCTCATTCCCACAGGTTGCGCTTTTAGAATCTTTTTTATCATGTTCGATTCAGGGGCCCGGGCTACATGTCCTGCCCACTGCAGGCGGTTTCGCTTAATTATAGTGGTAATATATTTACCAGCAAACGTATGCTTGTAGATATTCTGCAGTTCGAAGTTATATCTACGCCTCCATATTCCGTTCTCACAGACCGCTCCAAATATCTTGCGTAGCACCTTTTTTTCAAAAATGGATAGAGCGGATTCATCTGTTTTCGTTAGCGTCCATGCCTCTGATCCGTATGTGAGAACGGGGACTATCAGTGTTCTATACAGCCTTATACGAGTTTTTGAGACAGATGTTTGTTAGCTAAGTACTTTGATAGACCATAATAACACCGGTTTGCAATTATTATTCGCCTTTTTATTTCCTCAGATGTATTATTATTGGGGTTAACCGATGTCCCTAGATATATGAACTCATTGACTGCTTCGAAGTTTTGGTCATTGATGATTAAATTTGTGTCAACATTTCCAGCTCTTGTGTTTGTGTTAGTCGCCATGAATTTGGTTTTATTTTGATTTATATGTAACCCCATTCGTTCTGCTGCTGCTACTAGCTCGGTTAGGATTTCCGCAGTTCTCGCCCTAGTTCTTGTTATAATGTCCACGTCGTCTGTATATGCTAGAATTTGGACTGATCTATTAAATATTGTTCCCCTGCTATCTAAATTAGCGTCTCGTACAACTTTTTCTAAGGCGACATTAAAAAGCTGACACGCCAGCGCATCTCCCTGCCTTAACCCCCTATGTATTTGAAATGGGTTGACGAGTCGTTTTGAATTTTTACTGCTGATAGCATCTTCGCCATTGTCACTTTTATCAAACATATGAGTTTTTTTGGAATTCCTAACTCATTCATAGCGTTGTAAAGACTTGGTCTTAAGACACTGTCATATGCCGCTTTAAAATCGACAAAAATATGATACATATCTATGTTAAACTCTTGCGCTTTTTCGAGGATCTGTCGTAGTGTAAAGATCTGGTTAATGGTTGAACGTCCAGACCTGAATCCTGCCTGATATTCCCCTAGAAACATTTCAGTATAAGGCTTTAATCTCTCGTGCAAAATATTTGATAATATCTTGTATGCTGTATTTAGGAGAGTTATTCCGCGGTAATTATTGCATTCCAGTTGGTTTCCTTTTTGTGTAACGGGCAAATTAAGCCTAAGCTCCATTCTTCTGGCATTTGCTCCTCAGACCAAATTCTACAAACAATTTCTCGCATCACCTTGGTGAGCTGCTCTCCACCGTGCTTAAATAACTCTGCTGGGATGCCATCGCTACCTGGGGACCTATGGTTCCTTAGTTTTTTCTATAGATATTTTTACTTCATCTACCGAGGGTGGTTCCACGAGTTCCTCATTTCGGTATTCCAGCTCTATATTGTTAGTAGGTTCCCCTTCCAGCAACTCTCGAAAGTGCTCTACCCATCGTAAAAGGATGTCCTCTTTGTTGGTAAGTAAGTTGCCTTCCTTATCATTACAATAGTTGATTCTTGGTTTGAATTCTTTTCTAATACTATTTATTTGATGGTAGAACTTTCTTGTTTCTCCGTGACTCATATGGCTTTCGAGCCGTTCTAACATGTCATTTTCCGAGTCTCGTTTCTTTTTTCGGTGTATGCGTTTTTCCTCTCTCCTTAAGTTTTTGTATCTATCTATTGTTGTTCTAGTTTTTCGTTGTTGCATGGTCCTAAATGCCTCGTTCTCCTCATCTGTTATTTTTTTGCAGTCTTGGTCGAACCAGATGAGAAACATAATTAATCTTAAAAAAAAGCAAGGTTGTAACTGAGGGACAGATTCATAAAATAGTTTTACTGTTAATATAACTTAAAGGTAAGGGGACCCGTTAGCTCCAATTTTCTCCGATCTCGCACGAAAAAAAATTTTAATATGTGAAATCAATTCTACCTTTACCTACGATCAAACACAACAATTTATTGCATATTAGGAGGACTTAATTCTATAAAGAGAAGGATAGTCAAAAGAGCTAAAGAATTTGGTCGAGAGATAAACGAAAAAAAAAAACAATATATAGAAATGACGTAATGGAAACCATACTAGACTTTTAATATATAGATATATATCCAGGAAAAGAGTACAACTTTAATATTGTTAATTACTTTAACTATGTGAGAGTAAGGTTAATAAACAAAAAGGGAGAAAACCTTTTAGTTACAAACTGTGTTACAGTTTTGTAATAAGTCGACAAAACATATTTCTTAATTCGACCCTAATATACTTCTTTATTAATAATACACAATACGTCTCTGTACCATGGTTCTTTGCAATACAGTTGTCCCTTAATAATCCAACAGGTATGAAACCAAAAGGGTGTCCGGATTATCGAATGTGATTATATATTTGGCATTCTTTTGCTAGCAGTAGCCTACAGTATTCTTAAATTTTATAAGTAAAGTGTTATCCAGATTAATATGCAAAAGAGACACCTATTTCGGCAACTAAAATATGTTTAAAATAGGTAAAGAAATAATAAATAAGACTTACTCACAATCAATTTAATTTAACTATCAGACGACCGGTTTCGCTTTCTACAATATGCAAAGCATCCTCAGGTCTCGATACAAAGTTAAACAAGTGCTGAAATAATAAAAACCCATATTAGGGTTATTTATTCTATTCCAATAATTAACTCATTGCCAATAGAACTTTATCAAAGTAATTTGATAACTACAAGTTGGAAAATAATTGCACACCCACACAATTTTTACATCTAAACTTATTCATTGTCATAAAACTGTCACCTTCATAAAACAATTACTCAATAAATAACACACATTTCAAAAATATACCTCTCGAATAAGTATATATAGCTTTTAATAACACAATGGTATATTACATCACTTACATTTAACAAACAATCTCACACATATCTCTTCTTCATTGGATCAAATCTATCTCCTCAAGAACTTCCCGTTTACTGTCAAACAACTGCAATAATAGAATTGAGTTCTCCATTCAACAATATAAAGTAGTTTCAACCATGTTCTACCATCCATCTATTAATAGAGTACCGGCATGTAAGTAATGTTTATTTTATTTATTTATTTGCTCATTTATTAATTTATTACAATCGAAGAGACTATTTTATAACAATTTGTGGGCCTTACCTTGTCTGTTTAAACTTTTTAAAAATTTTATACCTTTTATTCAACTTACTCATTTAAATAAAACCACAGACATGTAATATTGGCATAATTATTGTAATTTACAACACCTACTTTGTTTATCGTTATTAGACAACACCTTAATATGGGTTTTTATTATTATTTCAGCATTTGTTTAACTTTGTATCGAGACCTGAGGATGCTTTGCATATTGTAGAAAGCGAAACCGATCGTCTGATAGTTAAATTAAATTGATTGTAAGTCTTATTTATTATTTCTTTACCTATTTGAAATGGACTCACACAAGCAACACATTCATGATTTAAAATATGTTTATTAAAAGAAATATGGAAGATAATAAATTTAATGTACAAACAGTGTTTAAATAATAATTTAAAATACTAACATTATACATACTAATAACTAAATGCCGCAACTAAGATATATTAATTATGGACGTTTGTAAATACATATTTACTATGCTCACACTTTGAAGAAATCTTTGATTGTCTTTTGCTTTTTCTTGTTTAGACAGTCTGTCATTGCTTATCAAATTTGTCATCACAGTTGACGGTAAAAATTTTTCGTCCAGTCATTTCCTTTAATTATTTCTTCATCTGTTAAGTCAGCATTGAGATTGTCATCTAAAATTCACTATTGTAAGCTTCTCTTGATTCAGATGAATTAGTTGTATCGTTGCAAATTTAAAGGTCAGCAACTTGCATAGGTTGCTCACTGGATTGTTTGTTAACTTCCATTGGGAGGAATAGGACTTTCCCGATTTAAACAGCGTAGTAGGCTTGACTTACTGCCAGGTAAACGCAGCATTGATAATCGCATCTTGATGTTAAAGTTATTCAAAATTGAAATGATGTCAGCATTAGGTTGACTTACAATATCCACAAGGAGTTGTTTCTTCTAGTGTGCCTTGAGAGTTTTATAACGTTTTGATCCATGAGCTGAATCAATGCAGTAGTATTTTTCGGTAAGTACATTGCCTCGATATATCCATCGGCAGTTTCGATTTTTAACTCGTCCTTATCAGGTTGTCCTGAAGCATTGTCTAACAAGAGAAGGGCTTTCACTGGCAGTTTCTTTTTTCTTAGCTCATCTTTTGGGACAGATCTGTTCTTGTACCAATTCTGAAAACTTTTTTTTGTCACCTAGTACCGCTTTGCCACATGTAGGTACGTTATTGGTAGCTTCTCAATTTTAACATTTTTGAATGCACAAGTTTTTTGGACTTACCCACGAATTTCAATTTGTGGGATCCTGATGCATTCGCACATACCATGAGAGACGTTCTTTCTGAAGTTTTCTACCAAAAACTTTTTTTTTTCGTCTGAAGTGACAAATGTGTTTATTGGAAGTTGCCGCCAGTTTAGACCGGTTTCATCAACGTTATAAAGTTGTTCAGGAATTAGGTCTAATTCCTAATAATAAGATTTTTTGAAGTTTTCGAACCAACCTTGACTAGCACGAAAATCAATTTTCTTTGTTAATTCCTGATAAAGAATTGATCTTTATTTTTTAAATTTTCACCTGAAATAGGAGCGTGTCTACTTCGTTGTTGCTTAAACCAGATGTGCAGAGCTTCTTCAACATCGCAAAATTCATTCATTTTAAGGGTTTTTCTGTCCTTAGAATATCGCAGTCGGAGTTTCGCCACACTCGCATCTCTTAATAATCTTTTAGAGTCATCGTTTTGTGCTTTCCTTTTGAACTTGTACTTGCCATTGAACTGAACTGTCTAAACGAATTATAAATTACGAATTGCGAATTTTATAAATAAAAGTTTGGCACTACATATTATTGTATCTAAAACCCTATCAAACCGAACTACTCACGAAAAATATACGAAATGAAGAATGAGATTCATGTCGCAACAGGTTTCAGTACAAGCAGACACGGCGACAATCTTGACGATAGAGGCGTTGGACTACCGAGCGTGTCGGATTGCAAAACGTCGGATTATCAAGGGTGTATCAAGGGTGCAATAATGTATAGGGTATGCCATTTAAATTAAAAAAGTTAGGCATATTTTTGGTTACACCGGAAGTACATTATTAACAAAAATCACATCGTTACATTTTTGCTTCATTGCATTGATTTGCAAAGTTTCATAAATATTATCCCTTCTTGTTTTAGAAAAAAAAATCACTTAGTTCCATATTTTATTCAAAACCCTCTGACTTACATACAGCCATGACTTACCTTTGTGTGAACACTCCCAAATGATATTTGACATCACCGGAACAATGTTCAAAGGGTTTGAGAGGTTCAAAATATGCAAACAAATGCACCAACGATTTTCTACATACGTTTATAATTACATTAAGGCGACCCCTATGGGCCATTCCTATTACGAACATCTCTACACCCAATTCCGAAGATCTGTCGATGATCGTCTTGAGTAGAGGTATGATGGAGTCTAATCCTTCTATGCCGAATCTCTTCTCCGTTGGATATTTCTTCGAGCAAAAATGTTCAAACCTTAAAAATAATAGTTTCGAAGAAAATAAAAGGTCTCATTATCAGGGATATGTCATAAAGGCAGGTTGAAAAGAAATGATCAAACACGTTTTTGCCATTTTAGAAAATATAGAACACTTGTCTATTATTCTGACAATTAGACAACAGTGTAAAGTGACAAAATAAGTTGCTAATAACTGCTAATAAAGAAGTGAAGTGGATTTATTATATTAATTATAAATGAAAATAGCCCTAACAAATACATATTGGGACAAATTAAAATATATAGGTAACAAATTTAGTTGTTTGACAGTTGATTTATTATTATCATAGTATATGGGGAAACAGGACGTATCTTAGACAAGACAGATAAAAGCCTGGGTAGTTCAAAACTAGTTTCTGGTAGAAATAAGAGAATATTAACAACCGTTTGCAAGGGAGGTCGAAGAAATACTCAAGTAAGGCATATTACAGCTGAATGGAATCATGAAACTAGACTACATTTTTCAAAAGAACGTCGTAAGTGGATGCATAAATCTGATGTTATAAGATTGAATTGCAGGTAACAATTTAAAAGTGTTTCCATAGTTTAAAAAATTATGTTTTCTTATAAATAAAGGAAAACCCATTGTTAACAGCAAAGAAAAAGCAAGCCGGTAGAGCTTACTCAATTACTCAATGCCAAGATTGGCATTGAGTAATTTTTAGTGACGAATTAAACTCGACGTATGTGTTATTGATTACCGCAAATGAGTTATTCGCACTAAGCAAGAGGCTTCTTACAAGGATTGTTTGAAACGAACAGTAACATGTCCTAAAGGAGTGATGTTTTGAGATTATATGGCAGTTTCAGGGTTAAGATTATTTGAGTAAATCCTGCGAAAAATCAAAAAATACTTCAAAACAGCCTACTACTAAGAATTGTGAAATTAAATGTAGTCGATAATTATATTTTTTAGCAGGACCGGATACAGCAAGAATCACAAAAAACTGGTATAGAAAATCACAATATAAACGTCGGTTCTTAGTCTTCTACAATACTACCCTAAATGACTTTGAAACAGTATGGCATTAAATGAAACAGACACCAGGAAACAATCCTCAGCGGAGATTACATGAACTTAAAGCCAAAATAGAACGCATTTGAAATAAATTATAAATTATAAATGAGCGGCTATAAAGTCTTAAAGCAATGTTACTCCGTTTTAAACATAAATATTCTTTCTATGTCCCAATAAGTTACAAACAACACAACAAAATTAATATTTTTTATCAATTAGCTCTTTGGATTTTTCCTGTTTTATATCAAAGCAATGCAATACAGGAGATGAAGAGAAATACAAATAGAAGATCACAAGGTATATTACTCGGGAAAAAGTGATGGATCACATGAATATGGAGTCGGAATAATCCTATTACCCAAGGTTGCCAAATGCGTTACTAACTTTACACCAATATGAAAGAGAGTGATTTTACTACAAGTAGAAGCCTTCTTCTTCTTGTAGTGCCTATTTGTTTCGGATGTTGGCGGCCATCATGGCAATCTGCACTTTGCACACTGCTGCTCTAAAAAGATTTGTGGTTGTTGTGTTGAACCACGCTCGTAGATTTTTCAGCCAGGAACTCCTTCGCCTTCCTGGTCCCCGTTTTCCTTCTACTTTTCCCTGCAAGATTAGTTGCAGCAGTCCATATCTTTAGCTGTTCCTCATGATGTGACCGTGGTATTCGATTTTGGCTGTTTTTATTGTGGTTAACAGCTCTTTTTCTTTTTTCATTTTCAACAGAACACTCTCATAAGTAACGTGGTCGGTATACGATATCTTCAGGATGCGACGATAAAGCCACATTTCAAAAGCCTCAATTTTCTTGCAGGTGGCGTCTGTGAGAGTCCATGACTCAACACCGTACAACAGTATAGGAAATATGTAACATCGTAGTAACCTGATTTTTATGGCATTGATAAATCATGACATTTGAATAACTTAGCCATTTTTTGAAATGCAGATCTTGCTTTCTCTATTCTACCTTTGATTTCTATGGAATGGTCCCAATTTTCATTGACGTTCGTACCAAGGCAGGTGTGTGTAAGTAGAAGCCAACCCTATTAATATAAACACAGAAAAGGAAAGCATAATCATGTGTATGCGTATGTGTATGCTGAAAGACCTTGATACGAGGTTAAGAGTCCAAGCCATGTTAAACGAGCAAGTGACTGCAATTAGAGACGAATCGAATGAAGAAAAAACGATCAAACATGTTACAAAAATAGTGCAAAATGTAAAGGATAAACACTAAAAGACAGATAGATTAATGAAGAAAAATCATGGATGGCAGATGAGATCCTGAAACTAAAGGACGTGAGAAGAGAAGCCAAAAATAACCCAGACAAATATAATACCATAAATATATGAATAAGAACTAAAATCAGAGAAGCGAAAGAAAAAATAGCAAGGAAAAGATGCGAAAAATTTGAGACTCTGCAGTCAAAGTACGATAGTCACAATGTACATAGGAAAGGTAAAGAACTTACAGGGTTACTAAGACGAAGGCACACAGAAAATATAACTGATTCTGATGGAATCATCTTCTTGGACAAACAGAGTAAAATAAGAACGTGGAAAGAATATCTAGAAAAACTATTTGGAAACCAAAGAAATAACACCTTTGAGCTAGAAGAAGAGATCAATGGTGGACCAAGAATATTACAGCAGGATGTTTATTCCGCAATAACACAGTTAAAGGATGGCAAAGCGACAGGTCCTGATAATATACAAACATAACTACTCAAACTAATAGACAACGAATCAGCAATAATCGCAAAGATATTCAACAACATCAACTCTAGATATACAACTCTGGAGAAATACCAACAGAATCTGAGTTTATTGTACTTTCAAAAAAATCAGGAGCCAAAAAATGTGAAGATTACCGTACTATAAGCCTCATGAGTCATATCCTAATATTGTTTCTAAAGATAATTCATAAGAGAATCTACAAGCTGTGTGAAAGTAAAATTTCCCCCAACCTGTTCGGGTTCACAAATGCTGTTGGTACTAGAGAGGCTTTGTTCTCAGTACAAGTCTTATTCCAGAGATGCAGAGACGTCAACTGCGACGTATACGCATGTCTGGTTGATTACGAGAAAGCGTTTGATCGAGTGCAGTACGCCAAGATGATGCAAATACTAAAAGAAGCAGGAATTAACAACCAAAATCTAAAAATAATTAAAAATGTTTACTACTGGAATCAAACAGCAAATCTCAGAGTTGAAGGTGAATACACTGACTATGTGAAAATCATGCGTGGAGTAAGGCAAGGCTGTATTTTGTCTCTTCTAATCTTCAATCTCTACTTCGAAGGAATATTTATCAAAGCTTTGCACGAAACTGAAAAAGGTATTCTACTAAATAGTTACTGGTTAAACAACATCTGATATGCAGATGACACCATAATATTTGCGGACAACTTAGAAGACTTACAAGTTCTTATGAACAAAATCACGTATTACAGTCAACAATATGGACTCAATATAAACGTTAAGAAGACAAAGCTTATGATAATTAGCAAGAAAATGATAACAGAAGGTCAACTCTACGTCAACTAATTCCCTGTAGAAAGAGTGACGCACTACAACTACCTCGGCACCATAATAAATAAAGAATGGACCAACAAGCAGGAGATTAGAGCACGCATCGGAAAAGCTAGATCCACCTTAAATCGGACTGGGGACTTCTTTAAGAATGACAACCTCTCTCTTGATACAAAAGTAAGAATGATACGATGCTACGTCTTCTCTGTCCTTTTTTATGGTGTTGAATCATGGACCTTGAACGAAGATATGTGCAGAAAACTGAAAGCATTTGAGATGTGGCTATATCAGAGAATACTTAAAATCTTCGAGTCACAAATGATTAGGTACTCAGCAGAGTGAATAAGAACCAAGAAGTACTGACAACCATCAAATCTCAAAAGTTACAATTCTTCGGACATATAACAAGTTGGTGCTTTAAGTAGTGCAGAGCGCGGTCTACATGTTACGGTCATATGTGCAATGAATGCAATTGGAATATATGTTCCTCCTGCTTTGATTTTTCCTCGATAGAGAAAGAAAGATGAACTTATGATCGATGCACCTACTGGAAGTGTAGCCTTCCCTCAAAAAAAAAGATGGATGTCTTCCGACATTTTTTGTCTCTGGCTGCAAAATTTTTTAAGGTATTCAAAGGCTTCTAAAACCAACCAAGTTTTATTGTTACTCGGTGGTCATGGTAGTTATAAAAATTTTGAAGCTTTCCAGTTTGCAAAAGAAAACGGTATTATTATGTTTTGTTTTCCTGCTCACTGCTCTCATCACGTTCAACCCTTGGACGTAGGATTTTTTAGACCACTTCAAATTACTACGGCCAATAAATTCAATTATAGCTACGACAGAATCCAGGTAAAACAGTTACCCAATTTAAAGTAGCCAGTATCTTTAATAGAGTATATTTAAAAAGTGCCCTTCCATCAAATGCAATAAAAAGACAGGAATAGAACTGTTCAATCCAGATGTCTTTGAGGATTGACAATTTTTACCGTCTATAACAACAGATAGAGAAAATTATGAACAAATCCACTACCAGGATGTTCTGACGGGAACTCACTACCGGAACATCGGAACCAAAATGTTTCTTCGATTGAAGATTTATCAAAAATCACTGATCAGAAATCAACATCATCGTCAGTCCTAAACATCTCGGCCGAAGATATTTGTCCTCCTTTTTTAGCTGGAGTATCTGAAGTAACTCAGAAAAGGGGTAGAAAACGGGGTAAAATAGGATATTTAAATTTAACGCCAGAAATTGATTATATAAAACAAAAAATAGCAGAAAAAGAAGCAAAAAAAAAGAAAACAAGACGCAAAAAAAGTGAAAAGGCAAGTTTGTATTTCAACTACAAACAGTTCTGAAGACGATTCTGAATTTTCTTTTGAAGAAGACGACTGGGACGATGCAGCTTGCATTTACTGTAAGTACGATCATTATTATCATTATGTCATGGTATAATAAACACGTGTGTATTAAATGTATCATAAAACAAAAGATAATAAAAAAGCTATTGGAGACTGTTATAATATTCGAAATATTAAGAAACTAACAGCATTATATACGTACAAATGAGTCCTAGCGAGACGAATTAAAAGTAATCTTTTCTTCTTCTCGGAAATATCTGTTGATCCTGGCGGCTCAAACTGCTCTCTAATCCAATCGCATTGTTCCACGGACGGTATATACATATACTCTACACCTATTTGTTGGCAATATGCCTTTTCCAATCGAGCTAGGATTTCTCTAAGAGGCAGTTGTGAACCCGTTTCAGCAATTCTCGTTGTTAAAGGTACTCTGTAAAGTTTGTCCAAGTCACTTTCATCTAAAATGAAAATTATGATTAAGCTACACAACTCTAGAAACAGATAGAACAACTAAACTGAAATATTTGGGGGCTCCGTCACTTCGAATACACACATACTGTACATACATATTGTAAGACATAGACAGAAAAAATTATAGTTAGTATTAAAAAATTAGTGACAAAACTAACAGAAATAATTATATAATAATTATATAATGTATAATCAAACATTATATTTCCACTTAATAGACAGAGACCAAAATCACATTTTCCCTTATTCTCTCCTTCACATTGTGTATCAACGCCCACAATGAAGCGTTAAGGATTTCCCACACTAACGCGAAACTTTCCGTTGCGGAACATTCGCAGGCGGAGCGGTAGCGAACAAGGCTTCCCCACATTGGCGCGAAACCCGACGCGACTGTTCGCCATACAAATGCGAACAAATTATATTTTTAGTCATTTATTCGTAGCTTACAAATACATAATGACTTCGTCTGATTAAGAAGAAGCTCTTCTACTATTATCACTTGCCGAAACTGAAAAAAAAACAGGTAACTCCAGAAGCAATAACTTGGTACGGGACACATTCAGTATTGTTAGTATCGACACATATAGGGGAAAGTATTGGTGTTAACTGTGTATTGCTCCGAGAAGAACATCTAGTATTTGAATTGAAAGTGCAAAAGCCAGCTGCTTCTTGTTCTTGTTGACACTCCAATTTTTTTTCAATTTCTAATGAAACTTTTTTCTTATATGTTTATAATCTTCGTCCCTTAAATCATAAAGTACAGGATATTGTTTCACAATTTCAATAAGTTTTTCTGTAACAGCCATTTTAATTCACGCGAATCTATAACTACAGCGGAAAAAATCGTGCATGCAGCGTTTCATTAAAACAACGCTGATCTGCCGCAACCGTTGCGGACTCCGCTCCAACTTGTTTGAACAACTGCATAAGTCGCCGTGCCTTACGATTCGCCGCGATTCCGCGGAGAATCGTAAGGCACGGCGACTTATTGTCGAAATTCATGTTGCCAATATAACAAAATTTATAGTTTAGAATAAAACTTAACATACCTAAATGTTATTTATTGGATGTAATAATTTGTGATTTACATTTGAATATATTTAATGATGGACTGAAATTTCCAAGTGAAATATCTAGTTAATATTTTGATATATTTCTTATTTTTTCTGTTGTCAACAGTAAAAAAAGTATCCCAAAATTTAACTAACTTTAATACGAGTCTAGTGCAAGGTCTTTATGTGCCATTTTAGAGCTTGCAATTCGGCTTGAATTGCAATTAATGTTTAAATTTTTACCCTTAACCCAACTTATAAACTTATGTTTTTTTAATTACTTATTACTGTTAACACCACAGATCACTAGGTGATCTGTGGTTAACACTATTTACTAAATTTCGAAAATGCCAAGACTATTAAAAATAGCCAAATATAAAAGGAAAGAGGCAGTAGCATTAAACCTTAAGTATTATTATTGCTGCAGCCAGCCTTTTAAAATGGCTGGCTACATCCTAAATTAGTGACTAATTTAGAACGCCGAGACCGGATAAGGTGGATAAGACCTTGGTTGAACAAGAAGAGGGATAATATATTTCTAACAGAAGAATTTGATGATGATTAAATGATGAAAAGTAGGTACTAAATGTAAAGCTATCTTTAGAGTGAAAATCATAAATTCAAATAAATCACGTTTTAAAAAACATATGAGTAAAATAATGCAAAAAAAAACATGAAAAAATATGTCAATACCTAATTACCAAAGTATTTTTTAAAGAGTTAACGATAGAAATACCTATAAACATAGACGAGTTTTGTAAAGCAGTGTAAAGCATAACATATACTGTGATAACATACTATAAAAACTTACTTATTTTATATTTAGGAGATATTATATCAGGAGGTAGGCGACCATCTTTACTTTCTCGCGTGCTTATTGTGGTTCCCAAGGGATCTACTTGCGCCAGGTAGTGCCCTCTTACCTAATAGATTTTAATAAAAATATCGGTTAAATAGTTTGAGATTAATAATAGATTTTACAGAATTTTGTAAACTATTTTAACTGTAAATTAATTTCTAGGAGATAAAGAAAAAGGGAAAAGAGAAAAAGAGGCTTGAGACTAATAATATATTTAAGATTTATTTTATAAAATATTGTAAATGTCTGAAAATTATTAAAAGAATAAAAATTAATCATCAAAAATCAAAAAAATTATTAACACGTTGGCTGCCAGACATATTTATTAACAAGCTAACAAGCAATTTTATATTTTATACACTCTTGTAACTGAATAAAATATATCAGTGACAATGATAAATATGTGATGAATATATATGATGAAAATATATCAACAATGAAGACATAAATTCAGATAAACTAATACCTACACCAATTGTGTATCACCTGCCTTTTGTAGAGGTGCGAACGAGCCATTTTTGTGCATACCTTGTTTTAATGAACTTCATAAAAATTAAATAAGATTTTTTTGTAGAGCGATTCATGTTTAGTTATAATTGTACTCATACAAACATGCTCATTTGTTAAATAGAGTTTATTTTAAAGTGAGTATTATGTTTTTATAAGGATCATTTTTCAATAGAAACCACGTCACACATTATAAAAAAAAATCTAAGGAATTGTATGTAGGGAATATAGCTTCTAGGCCATGTTAGTCTATTTCTACAATCGTACATAGTTAAATATGCTCCAACGGCCCATCAGCTATTAAAAAAGGTTTTGACCCCATGGAACCAACATGGCCTGGTACGGCAAATTATATGTTGGCCTTATCTGTGGTGGCCTGAGGCACCATCAGTCAATGTGGCAGTGAACGTGTTAATATTTTTATGACATACTGACACATGCGCATTAAAATGCTAAATCATTAAGAACAAAAGAAAGGCTAATAGAACTGGAAAATGAATTAAAAGATAAAAATGGAACATCAAAGGAATTCCTGATATGAGATAACATTTTTTTAAGCCCTTTTCTCTATTCGGATTGCCGCATATAGGCCTCTCCTAATTCTTGCCATTCATCTCTGTTTTTTGTAAGACGTTTCCACATTGGCCCTGCAGTTCTTTTAATATCGACGCTCCATTGCAGTTGCGGTCTTCCTCGTGGTCTTTTGGCTTCATATGGCCGCCAATAATTAGATAACATTAAGAACAAAAGAAAGGCAAATAGAACTGGAAAAAGAATTAAAGGATAAAAATGTAACATCAAAGGAATTCCTGATATTAGATAACATGAAGAAAAATGTAAGGTCTACAGGACAATATATTTTGAAACATCCCAAGTATACTTAAAAATAATAATAATACAGCAGGAATCAGATTTATAATAAGTACATAGGAAAGTGTGGTGTTAAAGCCAGTGTGGGAGACATCCGAGGCAGGTGTGGTGATAGAACTTCTAAGATGTATTTGTTGGGAGACCAATTTAACACAAAGAGAAAACGTCATTTATAGTCACTTACATTAAAAATATTACAATGTTTCTATTGGATAGGTCGCACAAGTCGACCTAGACTAGACAATTCTAAAAATAACATCCTTCGCGAATTGGATTGTATCAAATTTATATACATCATGTTTATGTTTTTAAAACAGATATTAATAAGAATTTTGCGAAAATTGTTGAAGACACTACTAGAGACACAGAAAAACATGTTCCACACAATAGAGTGGAACGAAACCAAGACATCTATTACCACAATTTCAATTACCATTAAAAGAAGCAAGAATGGATGAGAGATAAAATATTGCAGATGATGTAAGAGCGAAGAAAATTAAAAGGTAGAAATGACAACAAATACAAAAAATTGCATAAGACTATACTAAAGAAGATAAAAGGAGCAAAAGAAGCATGGCTGACGGAGAAATGTACGGAAATTGAAACACTACAACGCAAACATGACGATTTCCATATGCACAAAAAAATTAAAGAGGTACAGAACACCGGAAAACAACGCAATACAAGCATAGCTTTAGACATTGAAGGCAAGATTTTGACTACCGTTGAAGATAAATTACGAAAATAGAAAGAACATATGCAACAATTATTCGAAGATGCAGCACGAAGTCCGACTAAAATAAACAATCCTTACGGTCCAGAAATAACAAACGAAGAAGTAATTATGGCCATTGAGCGGATTAAAGATGGGAAATGACCAGGGCCGGATGAGGTGCATGGTGAAATTTTAAAGCTATTAGAGGCACACCAAATCACAGCTCTTACGAAGGTATTCAACAACATCTACGAGACTGGTTACTTACCAAAAGACTGGCTACTATAAATATTCATTCCACTTCCTAAAAAAGCCAACGCTAGAAAATGTGAAGAACATAGATTAATTAGTTTGATGAGCCATGTACTTAAAGTAATCCTATCATTCATTCGCGTATATATATCACAGAAAAATACCTGAGTGAAGTTAAATTTGGATTCAGAGCAGGACTCGGAACGAGGGAAGTACTTTTTAGTTAGCAAGTTCTAATACAGAGAGCCAGGGATGTCAATTACAATGTGCGGGATGTCAAAAGCAACAGTGCGATTAAAAAATTAACTGTCCAAGATCTTCACAGTCGAAAAAGGAGTTAGACAGAGTTCCATATTGTCTCCGGCATTATTTAACATATACTCTGAAAACATCTTTAGCGAAACATCTTGAACGAATCAAAAGATGGGATTGCTCTAAATGTCCAACTTATAAACAATATTAGATATGCAGGCGATACAGTATTGCTGGCAGTTAGTGCGCAGGGGCTCCAAAGGATGATGGATAACGTTCTAGAAACATGTAACAAATACGGCCATAAAAGTAAATTGCAAGAAAACAAAAATAATGATCATTAGTAAGAACACCAACATAAACGCCCAAATTATAATAGGCAATACACCGTAAGATAGAGTGGAAAAAAATATGCTATTGGGCTGCAATATCAAGGATACTTGGAATCACAGCTACGAAATAAACACTCGTATTCAAAAAGCCAGAAGCTCTTCTAACAGCCTTAGGAAGATTCTCTGCAACCTATCTTTAAGTATTAATATACGAATAAGAATTCTTATATGTTACGTCTTTAATGTCCTCCTCTATCGAATAGAAAGCTGAAGCCTTACAGAAGATGCCATAAAACAATTAGAGGTATTTAAAATGTGGTACTACCAACGTATACTGAGGGTCTCGTAATAATTAATACCAACTTTTATGGTTGATTCTACAAGGCAAGACATAAGGCGGAGTCCTATGCATCCGATTTCCGACAACACGATGATCTGAAAGTATTCTCATTGGTCAGAATCGAATCAGAATATTTTCGCGCCGAATTTCATCCGAAATTTTTAACTACGCTTCCGACATCGGATAAAGATAAAATTATTTTAACTTTTTCGGACAAAACGGATGTTTTGTAACCTGATTGTATGCCAACATCTGTACATTTAATTTATTGAAACATGAATTTTAATCGAAGAAGCTATGTTCGTTAAGTTAATAAAACGCTATTATTATGTCTGCTTCTTTTAATTCACAAAAAAAAACAAAACTGAATTTGTGTAGGTCGAACTTGCTATCTGCAAATATATGAATTCGACAAAGAAAATATTGGGTTAGTTAAATATTTCAGTAAAAAAAATCACAAGGGGCTTTTAATAATCTATTGCACTCTTGCAGGAAATGAAGCTAAATGATGTTGATAAATATTTGCAATTACCTTAGAATGCGTAATTACACATTTCATAAGTTACATAGTTTCTTCTACGTTATCCATACTAAACTGAGTAATTGAAAGCAGGAGAAGGGATTATATACCATGCGGAAATAATCCCTTCTGCTGTTTTACTACGCAAAAGTGGTAAAACAGCAATTTTATTACCAGCCAAACCAACTAACATCCAAAGTCCAAACAATAAACAAAAAATTGGCAGTTAACAGTTTATACGGATTTTCGTATCCGACAATCGCATGAATGTGACTAGCTTCCAAATAGCAACTGCGAAACCATACGATTTTCGTATGTCAGATCTCGGAAATCGGATACATGGGACTTCGCCTATAGGCGTATATCCTGGCGGGTTAATCTTAGGAAGTGGATTGGTCTAACGTCAACTGATTTATTTCGAGCTGCTGTGAAGAGAATAAGATGGGTCAATGTGGTCGCTAACAACTCTAGAAGATAGGCACATTTAGAAGAGAAAAAGTTTATGAAATCAGTGTATTGTATAATCGAAATACCACAAAAACAATATAAAGTTATTATAATTTTGTCATACTTACTTGGTATCCTCTTATAATACTTTGTAAAGCAGTATACTTTTCTGCTATAACAGTTTCCGATTCAGGAACTCCAGCGGAGCCAACAGCCGGGTTGGCTACAGCCTTGGTTAATGGAACCACAGGATTTACATTAAGAACCTTCGGAGCTACTAGGTTGTCGGTGATTTTCAGGTCGACAGTATTTTTTGGGCTTGTATTTTTAGATACATTTGGAGCAGGATTTGTAAGTTGGGGGTTAGGTGAAGGATTATTTTGTGTGGTTTTACTTATTGGTGTATTTTTTTTGTCAACATTGGATGTTGTTGGTGGGTAGTACGTTAGAGTCCCTTCTTGTGCTTTTCGAAAGAAAATATCCCAAGACTATAAAAAAGAAAATTGTTTTACGACAAATGATTCTTGGTAAAATGGAGTCACCTTTTTAATATAGTCATATTTGTAGAATGCATGTCTACTGCGTGATCTATAAATCTAGAGAACGAAAGGATAATGGGGAAAAATGTTTCATCTTAAATCCCATTTTGTTCTAGTATATCATTTATAAAGTTGTGTCTAATCATTACAAATTATTTTTATGCAGAACCTTAATAGAAAATTGAAAAAAAAAAAGTTATAAACGCAAAAACATTAAAATAATCGCTAAATATAATAAACTAAAGTGAGACTCACTTAAAATAATATTAAAGATATCCCATAAAATTTAAAGTTATAAACCTATTTCGACCATTTTTTAAATCTTGCTTTATTCAAAAGATGTTCTTCGGGTTTAAATTTAAAATATTTGATCCAATGAAGAAATTTAAAAAAATGAGACTCAATTTATACTTTTTAACAACACATACTCTTAGGCAGTCTCATCATATAAACCTACTTACGTATTGATACTGTACTTATTTTTTATTATTTTTTATATATTGTATTAAAATTGAGTTAAACCTTACCGAGTGTACTCTGGAGGGATCCTGGAGCCAGTTGTTATACATATCTTCAAGATACTGAGCGCTGCTACCGCTCAAATGAGATTCTGAGCTAGGAGGTTCGGACTTCTTATGGTTTAGACATTTTATTACGTTTTCAAAAACAATTCTCTTTGGAGATGATAATACAGTTGTAATTAGTTGATTCATAATTAACTAAATGAAGAATTTCGAAGATTTATGAATAGAAAAATACGAAAAATTTTAAAAAATTTGACGATTGTACACATTAATTTTTAAACGACATAATACTTGACATTCCTACGAAAACGTATTTACATTTCTAAAAACTGCAAAATATGATTCTATTGTCTTTTTCAAGTATTATAAACAAAAAATAATAATTTGTGTTGATTTTTCATCAATTTAATAAAGTAACATTTTATATTTTTACAGCATTTTTAGGTTTCTGTTTTACTCTAAATTTGCATAATTATAAATATATACTGTTGAAACTAAAATACGAGTTATATGAAAAATTTTCGTTTAAATCCAATTTTAGTATAATAATCATTACATGAGAAAATGCCTAACAATGTAAATATCTGTCTATCTGTCAAATATCATAACCGAACCGGTGAATTTTAAAATATTTGTGACTTTGGAATGGCGCAAATATTTTATTTTTACAATCTAGAACAGTAGACACGTGCAATAATCATGCCCACAAAACTAAGTTACTTTGAAATTAATAAAAGGTATTTATTGACGTAAACACATTTTTAATACGAATCAACTAACGATAAGATTTTATTTCCTTGTGTAGGTTCGACTTTGCTGTTCCCTTAGAGGATATTTTTACCGATGTTGAAATTCACCCAAGACTACAGGTAACACTAGTTCGGATATTATTTAATTATCAATAAATAATTTAAATTCTTTTAAGTACATTTTTCAACAAGCTTATGAAAACTATTTGGAAAGTCATCAGGATATAGAAGAAATTTTAAAGTAAGTATTTAACCAATGATTAGAAAAAGTAAACCTTAATAGATCACTTAATAATGTTATTAAACTTAAATATTATGTTTAAAGTGTGTGACAGGATATTTATATGGACTCAAATACAGATAGATATGAAAAGAACCAAGGTTGGCTTGAATAATTTTTATTAGACAAATTTTCAGTTCCCATGTTAATAATTTCTTACACACTTTTAGAGAACCATCTTTAAATGAATGTTTACAATTAAAACAGTATGTCACTTTTGAAAAACACTTGGGAATAAATATTCAATGGTACTCAGCTGGTTCCTATTTCTGGATAATTCGTCACTTCCTAGGACAACTACCTATACCTTTGCTGCCAACAGTGACTAGTAGACATAAGTATCAATGGAATGAGTTATCAATGAAATGCAAAAGAGTATTACATGCAGATAATAGAACAGATACTGATTATAGATATTTGTCATATAATATTACAAAGTAAGTTTTTTATTGCTATTTTTGTAATAACATATACATGTTTTTAAAATTTATTTAAGGTGTAATATGTAGCAAACACATTAAGTAAATTTAGTTATGATTTTCTTTGATTTAGATATTTAATAATATCATATCTTACTCAAAGTACTACTGAATTTTTTTATAAACTTGAGTAATCAGAAAGGTAGTAACACTCATCATGACTACAGTTACTAGAAAAAAAGAAAATCTGATATCTTAATTAGTCATTTTAGGATCTTATACAGATTATACAACTGATCATTTATCCACACTTCAGTTGACTCCAGACTCACAATTATTTGCAGTTTCCTAATAATATATCACTGAAGACAACTAGTTTCTACTTTTATGTCAATAGTTTGCAAACAAATACATTAACATGTTTACTGATGGATCTACGATATAATACAGGGGGAAGTTTTTAATATCCCACTAATTATTGTTGGAAATATGTGAAAACAATTTAATATTAACAAATAATAATTTTTTAGGAGTTTAAGTCATTTGCCTCTTCAGCACAAACTATTACTCAATACCTTGATTATGTTTATAAGAGAAGTTTCTAAGAAAAGAAACTGTAAGATTACAATTAAATGTCTAGCCAGATACTATTGTGAAGCTATATTCTCTAGACCATTTAGACCAGGACACAATGATAGGGTAAGCAGTTGATTAGCAGCATTATTAATTTTGTTATTTAGTACAACTATGTTGATAGAAACCTTAAATTGTATTTTTATTCATTATCAGATAAAATTATAAAACTTTCTTCAGTTAATTTATTAATTAGATTTTTGTAGTAGAATATAGATCAATAATAGTTTTTATACTTTAAATGAATAAAAAATATGTCAAATTAGAATTACACTCCACTTTGCAAAAAAATGGCCCCTTTAAGATAATAACAAATTTTGATCTTAACACATTCCACTTTGGCACCGCCCTAAACGCTTTTACCCTGTTTTGGCTAAAACACCTGAACCACTCGACATGTCTTTGTGTACCTATCTCATATAACTAAACATCAATTTTGGTGGCATGTATTCAATTGTCAACAATGATGTATGGCAGAAAATGTGTTAAATAACTTTTTATTTATGATGTCCAATTTTGATATAAATTTTTTTTGACAAGTAGGAGGATGTCCAAGAATAAACATAGAGGTGTTTAAATAGTGGCATGGAATAATAGCTCTCCAGAAGTATGTGCTAACAATAATTTGTATAAAGCATATGATCCATGATCTAGATGAAGCCACAATCCAAACACTAGGGGGACAGCAATAACCAATATGAACACAAATTGAAGTTTCAAAATGGGCAAAGAACAATCTATAGGGAATGAACCAAGCTTGCATATAGGATAGTTTTAAGTGACATAAAAACAATTAATGTCATAGTGAGAATTAATCTGAGATGATTTTTCTTCTACTTTTCCAAAAAAAAAAATTAAATTGGACCGTAAATACAAAAATGATTTAATATTGTAATTTTAATGTGGTCAATTTTTATGCACTTAGATGTATTTACTTAAAACTATAATTTGATAGACTTTCTAAATGTTTATTCATCCCACCAGTACCCATAATTACAATGAAAATTATATGCTACATGAAAACTTTCATAAAGATATGAAAAATTTCAAATGGTGCATAAGATATACATAACAAGAAAAAGGTATATCTTGCATATTTCCATTAGTTCAATAAATTACGTGTGACAGTACAAAATAAAGCCATATTTTATAATTTTTATACTGTTTCAGCATGAAACAATGCTTCCTCTTCTAATATTCATGATAGCAAAGTGGCATCATAAATTTTTAAGAACCGAGTTTGTGCCTTTCTACCAATTTAATAAGAAATATTCTGTCAATGGTTGCACTCAAACAAACTGGTTAACACAAAACTATCAACTGGTAAAGTATCTTAAAGATGTTGACTGTCAAACGAATGCAAGTGCTATTTGTGCAACCAATGATCCCTCAACAGATGAAAATAATAATGGTCTACCACAAATTAATAGAAATATCTCAACCGATGATCTTCCAGATAATAGCAGCAACAATGAAGCCCCTTCGGGTGAAAAAATTAATACCCCCATTAAGCAACACAGAACTTTTGTTAACAGCTTGATGGATATAAAAGAAGAAGATATACTGTGTGAACGGTGTAAACAGTTTGATAATATTTTTAACAGCACTCTTCAAACTGAACAAGAGGGTGCGTGGGATGATGTTGTTAAAGAAATTAGGAATACTGTTCGGAAAGTGGAAATGTATGATTATGAAAGTGAGGCGAAGCATCTAGCAGGAGGTAAGTTTTTATTACCTAACTTTATGATATAATAAAAGTAATTGTTTATAGAGTGTATCTACCCTGAATTGAACCGGCAATATAACATAAATCACAGCCGCTTTTGATGTTTCATACCCAGCAATGGCGGATTGTGGTATTTAAGTGTGGGGGTGCAAAAACTAATACAAACGTTTTTTTCATGCAAATTTGTAATCTTAAGGAAAGTCTTTGTGCAGATTAAGTCATAAAGGACCCGTTGCACTTTTCTTATACAGGATAGATTGATATATTAAACTAGCCTTTGATAGATGGCGCTACTTGATACCGGATTGGTTTCGGTGTTGACATTTGCCATTCATGACATGACGTCTGTCAAAATTTTAAGTTTTAAAAACAATTAGTTTGGTTTTTACAGCTGTCAAAAGTAAGCAAATTTTGTGTTTTTGGAGAAATGGAAAAAGTCGAGTATCGTTCGGTGATTAATGCCTGGTTGCACCAATAGATCTTAAGCTCCAGCTTAGCCAAGCTCTGCTTATAGCTAGGGCTGTCTTAACTCTCACTTACGTTGCACCATAATTTTCGATTCTAAAATATTCTTTATATTTTTAAAAATAAAAATACAAAATTTGGTTGATCGCCGTCGGACGGTTTGGTCGTGGTCGGTCGATCAGTCTGAGCTGAGGCCTACCTAAGGCACGTCTTAAACTTAAGATATGTTGGTGCAACCAGGCATAAGTTCCTCCACAAAAAGGATAAAACGAGTGTGCAAATCAAAGCCGACCTGGACGAAATTTATGGTGAGGTTTTACCTTCGTTAGCAACAGTAAAATTTTGGAAAGCTGAATTTGTTCGTGGTCGTAGATCTGATATGCGAAGGGGCATCATCCACATCGACTACTTGGAAAAAGGAAAAACAATCAATGGTGAGTAGAGGTAATGGATTTTGGGAACAGCTATGACCTTGAACATTTCACATAAACTTGTGTACTAAATAGGCATAATGCATAGCTCTTGTCAAAATCCCATACATTAATAATATAATTACATATCTTCGATTCTAAAATATTGTAAAAGACTTTAAAGAGTCTGAGTAAGAAAAGAGATATTTAGTTATATTCTTTGTGGCATTTTCAAGGTCATAGCTGTTCCCAAAATCCATTAACTCTACTACGCCGCATTATTGGATCGATTCGCTGCCGAATTGCGTCGAGAACACCCCGGTTTGGAACGCAGAAAGTGCTCTTTCACCAACACACTGCACTGGCTCACCGATCGACCGTCGCCATGGCAAAATTACACGAATTAGGCTATGAATTGCCGTCAGCGATTTTTTTTGTTTCCAACCCAAAAAGGCTCGGATAACGCCGTTTCGCAACAAATGATGAAGTCTTCGCTGAAACTTCGACCTATTTTAAAGAGCTTGAGCAAAAGTACTATTCGCATGGGATAAAAAAATTGGAACATCGTCTTACTAAGTGTATCGTGCTAAAGGGGACTATGTTGAGAAATAAATCGATTTAATTCCAAAAAACTTGTTTTTTTCTATCAAATTCTAGTTTTATATCATGTACAACTCGCGGGAGTTATATCCCCTATTGTAACATCTGGAACTAGAGGGTGAGAAAATCTTCACCACTGTACAACGCTGTTACCACTGTAATATACTGGTAATGAACCTTAAAGGATGCTTATCCCTGCGAGCGGCTGCAAGGAATACTGGTCCTACTAGTCTGGAGGGCTGGCTCCCCTTCGTGGATTTACGAGAAGGTAAGGAACTTCGGAATAGGGGTTAAGGACTTCTAGGTCTCAGGTCCTGTAAAGAGTTTGAGTCTATGGGCTTACTTTAGAAGCCGGACAAATGTATAAGCCGAAATTTGGTACTCTTCTGGTCTCTGTCTGAATCGGTCGGAGGGAACATAAAACCAATTTTAGAGTCTACAAATGTATTGAATATACTATGTGGTTTACAATTAAGTTAACAAACTGTCAGATATAAGCAATAATATATGTTAGTATATAACCAATGTTTTTATTGATTATTAACACTTTTTGTCTTGGGTAATTGGTGCAGGAAATGAATTAGAAATAACTTGCAAGCTCAACAAAAACGTTCCTTTTTATTTCCACGTGTTATTAATGCAACGGCTTGTACATGATTCTCGCGCATCGATCAAAACAACAATATAAGCAATAATAACTCGTTCGGCGCGAAGGGAGACGAGAAGAGCAAGAAATTAAAGGGGTGACAATCTGTAATACTATAATTTACTCGGGTTAGTATATAGAATTTTGTTACCTTTCGCGTATTTAGGCTCTAGCTAATGATACGCCCTTCAGTTCCTCCGGAAATCGGATTTCTTTCAGTACCCGACACTTATACGGAACTATACCCCGTCGAAATATAACAATCGCGCGTAAACCGCACCTGCCGACTCTCGTATTAACAACCCTGCCCGAAGACACCGACTGCCTGCGCGTACGGGACGCTATCGCGTCCGACCCGATGCCGGCAATACTGCCTGAGCGGCCAGTCACGGTGCCCCGCTATTACTGACTGACTCGCTATTACTGACTGCCTCGACTCCTCTGTTCTTCTTGTTTTTATTGAGCTCGTATTTTCAATGCCGGTTATAGTGCAAAGGTCGTGTTTTCGCTAAGTTGTAAGTCCTATGCTTTATTTGGGTCACGAGCGGTGTTATTTTTACAACAATAGTTTCTGTTTGACGTGCTTTTTCTACGTTTAAACAATTATCAAACAATGCACTAACTAGGTCAATCTCTTTGTGTAATTCAAAATGTATACTTTACTGTATTAATTATCCCTCATTTGATTTGGAACATATAACAATCATTAAAATGATTATTACTCTCCCCTATGCTACAAACCTTAATTCTTTACTTTCTTGCTATGTTTACATTACAATCAATCCACCTTGTTTATAAATGTGGGTTTAGTTAAATTGGCTGAATCGTTGTAGAGAAGTTAGCTTTGATGAATGAAAATTGTCTTTTCTACAATAGTTTATTTAATAAATTAACAATAATAATTAAAATATTTCAATTTCCCTTATAACTGAACCTAACCCCCCAAAAACAATTGGTCTCTGGCTTATCAAATAGAAGCACGCTAGTCGTATACTTTAGCAGTATGTTGATTTTTTTTTTATCTTTTCGCAGGTAACTCAAGCACATTTGAAAGTGACTCAACATTTGAATCCGACCCTTGTGTAACAGCTGATAACTTTATGGAAAACACTAGTCTAAAAACCACCGAAAACAAAAGTATTGACAATATTAATGATAGCGTATACAAAACACCCAAAGGACAGCTACAGAATACATCTTTGTATTACAGTTTCTGTAAATCTGAGGATGAACTATACAGTAAAAATGGAAGAGAATCAAATAATGCTGAGTATTGTGATAATATACATAATAATGAGGCTATAAGCTGGAAAGACGATCAAAATGCTTCTGGTTTTAGTTCTAACCGATTAAAGATGAAAATGAACATCCTAAGGAAACTTCACCCAAAGTTAATTGAAGCAAAAGAAAGTTTTAAAAAATTTTCAACTAATTCTGTAAAATATAAACCATTGAAGTTTTAAAATATTTTAGGCTTTTATTTATTTTATCTTATAATTATACCTTTTCTTTAAAAAAGAATGTGTTTGTTATTCAGAAGCTAGATGTATTTTTTTCCAGTTGAAAACATAGTTTATTTTTTTTTCTAAAAAAGTTTAGTTTTGAGATTATTTACAAAATAGCATAGTAGATTTTTGTACTGTTTTTGTTATTACGAGAATAAATGTTTTAGTTTTGTAAAAAGGTATATTATTCTTCCTTTTTAGCTCATTTTCTCTGAAGAATTCGAGCTTTGTTGCTCAGCATCGGGAGGATTTGAAGCTGGAGTTTGGTCACTTTCCACTTATAGTCAAATAGTTAGCACCCTAGACACGAAAATTTCTTACCTTCACCACGGTGGAATTTTAGAAAAGCAAATATCTGGCACTATTAGACCATCTTGGCTTCCAGTCTTGTCAAACATTGCCCAACCAGAAACAAGACGGCTCGCGTCTCTAAAAGCATAATATGGAAGGTATCAGACAACTCGATGTTACCAATAAATGCCGAAATTTAAAAGACCAACGCCAAGTGGAATAATCAAGAAGTGACAAATTACAACCAAGTTGAAAATCCTGCTACAAGATCGAAGGAATTTAATCTTCTTCGCAAAGAATGGTGTAACCTAAACATAAATAGAACTGATCAAGGAATATGAGAAAAAACACTAAATTCATGGGAGACAAGAGACAATCCTCAGTACGATATAGTCTTAGGTCCACACACCTATTTTAGCGGTTCAGTAGATAGAACATATCTACGCTCTATCCCCCGTAAGCTGAAGATTGGCTCCGAGAAACTTCGCTTAGACTTTAATGTTTATCTCTAACTTGGAAAGGCTTACGAATACGGACATCTACGCAATCCATAACTTCAATTTCGGCTGAAAACGAATAAACTTGCTGACAAAAAGGCTGGACTTCACGTAAGGATGCAAATATGGGCTAACAATTTTGTAATTCTTTATAAAAAAACAATAAAAATTCTATTTCAATTCCAAAGGTACATAAGAATACCTATATTTAGTTACTTATAACCTTCTCAAAATAACCTTCTCAAAGACCAAATTGATTAAAAAATATATATCTATTTTAAATGTACAAATAATGAAAAATTGTACTTTTGCGTCGTTTGAATAATGATTCTAAATATGAGCCACCTCGAAAAATGCCTTTTAAATTTGTGTAAAATGAGATAAATGCGTGACAAATATATTTAATATCTAAAATACAAATAATATATCAAATAACTCATAGACAATGACGTATGTATTTGATTTTCTCAAGTTTTCTTTTTTTACTAGGGAAAGAACTATTTGCAAAAGTCATACACATATTCTTCTTTTTCGGCCCAAGCGCACTCGTTATGTGCCCACAAATGGCACATCAAGCACTTTACCCATATTTCACCAAGATTATCCTCTTAAAAAAGTGCTTCGTAAAACATACACACGTTACGTCAGCTGCGTCTTGTGGAGGATGTGTAGAAGGAAACTCATTGTAATCGCTCAAATCATCTACAGGCACATATTCCTTCTCATCCTCACTACTAGAACCTGATTTTTTTTGGTTCTTTGTGACTTCGGTAACCAGCTTACGTTTTCCTTTTTTTTTTATTTCTTTGCCTGTTCCTACTTCGTTTTGCTCCCCTTTGTCTTTGTTGAGAGATTGGATCAATCCATTTTTGTAAGGTGAAGAGGTTATCACTTAATACTTACTTGGCTTACGCCTACGATTGGAGGTTTTTTTTCTTCAATAATAGCCCAGGAGAAAGATCATATGGTGTTAGCAGAGATGTTCTTGAAGACACAGATGTGGAACGAATTAATGGAATGGGCTTATTCTTAAATAATTTTCTTTTTTATACCAAGCTCTACACAATGTCTTCTAGGCGTGGCAGACTTTCTGTAAAAGCTTGTGCGAATAAGGACAAGCTGTAAACTAGTTGAAGAAATAGCATCAACCTGTGTATTGGTTTTAGGAATAGTTTCCAGCTGTTTATTAGGCTCGGATGAAAGAGTGGTAGAATTATATGATACATGACAGCTATAATTGCACGTTCCATATCTGTCTCAGCCCAATTTTTATCTTCTTTTATCAGCTATTGTTTTGACATCCTGAAACAATTGAAGTATGTTTTACATTGTTCTAAATATGGACCACTAGTCCATAATGAAAACAGAGCCAGAGCCCATATTGTTTTGTTGTGCTTGCTTTGCACAACAAAAGAGGTTATGTCCAAAAGTAGCCAATTTGAAGAAAACCTATTAGCATATATCAAAGACTGATTATAGAGCTTCGATGTGATAGACGTTTTTTTTTGAAATTAGTGTTTATTTTCAAATACTGGAAATGATCGCCATCGCTACGGTGAGTTTAAAAAAGGTTTCTTAATGTGTGATGTTTTTTCGCGTCTTTTATAACGTCTTACCACTCTTAACACATTGGCTACCGTCTCAGTCTATGTGACCGAGAAAAAATTGCTCTGCACGCCAGCAAGGTCTATTGGACCGTTTAATGTAACAGTGATGCCGTCTCGGTGACTATGGCGTGAACGGAAAGTATTACAAACGTCTCTACGGTAGGCAACGTGTTAAATTATTTAGAAACGCAAGATCTACCACACGCGTTATTTCACGGGTTAAACACAGCGGTTATTTCATATAATTCATATAATTTGCTTATGGTGCAGCACATGCTTAAACTTAGGTTTCAAACTTATTTATCATATACTTGCTATGGTTTTGCTAAATTAATTTGAAGTTAAAGCATCTGCAATGTTTTATTCATGAGACCTACTATTACAATAACCGGAGGTTTACAGGAAAACTTGTCTAGAGGCTCTGAAAACAACAATAAAAGAAACAGACAAACTTAAGTATCATTTATTTACAAGTTTTAAAAATTCTACACCTAATCCATATACAAACACATCAAACTTTTTGTCATCATCAAAACAAATAATCCCTTTCAAATCAGGGACCGACGTATTATATTTTGCCAAAAGTTTGCACTCTAAATGCTCATCCTTTAAATGCCAAGTGTACAAAAGTATTCTTTGATCCACTGAGGCTGTTATAAAGAATTGATCATTAATAAAAGTTCCTGTTATTTGGGCCCAATGTACACCAGAGCTCTTATATTGATCAACAATTTCAACTGTTAATCCTGCTTCTTTGTTTCCACTGAACTTCAAATAACTTAGCTTAACAATATTGTCATCTCCAGCTGTGAGAAACAAAAAAGAATCTGCGGCAAATCGAAACGTTGAAACCGTATTAATACCCGAGGCGTGTATGGACAAACTCCCAAAAGGAACTACGTCTTCAACACCAGACAGAAAATCCTCAGTTTGCCAGAATACTACACATCCATCACTGGCCATAGTCACTAGTACATCACAGCACAAAACTTTAATAGTAATTATCTTAAAAATGCATTTTAATTTATAAAAAACATTCCTATACAGTGTTAATTTAAATGAATCCGTTACAGAAAAACATTTGATATACCCATCTGAGCAAGCTGCAAACAAAAATGTCTGTTCCAGAAATGTCATTGCACATAAATCCATTATCCTCATTTCAGAATCTTCATTATCGATAACTTCGTAATAAGAATCGTTTTCTTTGCAAATTATATTCTGTATAATATTATTTTCTATTGAAAAAGTTAAGGTCCAAGAAACTATTTGAGCCCTACCCCCCGCAGAAAATATTAAATGTTGTTTAGGCTCCAAATGAAAGGTAGTAATACATCTTATGCTAGAAAGATGTGACTTCAATGTAATTTCATTCACAAATAAACTTAAATGTTCATCTGTTACCGTGATTCTTATAGTAGTATCCTCCCCTCCTGATATTATAATATACTGAGAATTAGTACTAACGATTTGCATTGAATTCACATCGTTTAGGTGAAAAGGTTCGATAATATCGTGGGATTTATTTACTATTAAATTATATTCTAATTTATTTATAAATTTGTCTTTTATGTACAAAAATGTTAATGCATCTGTTTTTGAGAAATCCCACGACCGATGTCCACCCCCACAAATAGTTTCCGATATTAACCTTTTCGTCTTATAATTCCAAACTACAAAATTATTTCCAGAAAAAGCAATTACTAAGTCATCAACAATGTCTAACAACCAACTATAAGGAAGTTTATCTGAAGTTGCGAGTGATAAACCAGATTTATCTGTTAAAAAAGTTTTAATTGTACTATTACGACCTAAAGATATCAGTCTATTGTTTTGTGTAATTAAATTAGTTACTCCCAGGTGGCTCTGAACTCTCGATATCGTTTGTATAGGACTCTGTTGTCCAATTTTAAACCTATGTAGACTTCCTTTTCTATCGCCCACTACAATGGTATCTTCAAATATGGTTGCTGTGGTTGAAATTCTTTGTGAACCCTTTGGCAATGTAAAAGAACACACTTCACTTATTTCGGAAGGTTTTAAATACAATAGTTTTAGCTTTCCTCCATCCTGACATATTAAGATCATATCACAAGCTAACCAATGAAGAGATATTATCCTGGATTTGTTATTTGATTGAAAGTAACAAAGTTGTTCTAAAGTATTTTGGTTTTCTTTGTAGATGTATATCTGACCAATGAAACCTGAAAATATAAAAAAAAACTTTTAACACACATTTACCAAACAAAACAATAAAGTTAATATTTAGACGATTGTAGGGTAGTGTAATGTTTGAACAAAATAATAAATGTAGAGAAAATATCAGTAAATAGAAGAAATATTATTAAGCAAATGTGTATGTATTCGTCTCAATCTGCACCCCCAAAAGACAAACTATATATTTAAAAAATTTGAGAAGGTATATGTGATAACTAGAAGTATTTTGACAAATTTTGAGCAAACGTCATGTTGTCGATGTCAAAAAAAACTTAAAACTACTTTTTGCCAAGTATAAAGCGGGAAAACCAAACATACAATTTTGTTAACTTTCTTACAGTATACAAATATAATCCTAAGAAATACTTATTAATTCTTTGAAAATTTTTGAATGTACAGTTTTGCCACAATAGCAAAATATATATGTTCCGGCTTATAATCAAGCTACCGGTAAGAAACCGGACAAAATTTTAATAACGTAATATATAAAAGTGGAAAATATTTGCAATAAAAAGTTGAATATTTTTTCCTAATTATATGAAAAATATCGTTACAACAAGAATTATATCTTGGACTTCCGCCATCAAATTGTGTTGTAGAGAGGTGGCTCCATCTAAAACATCGGTAATATGTATCATCGATTGATAGCATTACTTTCGGCTTCGAAAGGCTTTAAACGAAACGTCATACTAACAGGGTTGACATATCAATTACTTTGTACAACACTTTGGCAGATTACAACAAAATTAACAAAAATTTTATCGGTTTATATATATATATATATATATATATATATATATATATATATATATATATATATATATATAGAAATCTCTTAAATATTGAGGAAATCTGCAAGAAAAACTCTAATGAGTATCAATTGTTTCGCCGAACGTTTTCGCCAAAGAGAATTAATTTGGCTTCTTCAGGGCGTAACTAGAATTGTCGAGTTAGGATGTTATAAAACTTAGCTAGTGAACCCCATGTTCCTCTAAAAAGAAAAGAAATTTAATCTTTGCAGATAAGTTAAATAGGAAACTCTTAAATATTGGGGAAATCTGCAAGAAAAATTCTAATGAGTATCAATTGTTTCGCCGAACGTTTTCGCCAAAGAGAATTAATTTGGCTTCTTCAGGGAGTAACTAGAATTGTCGAGTTAGGATGTTATAAAACTTAGCTAGTGAAGCTAGTGAATTGACTAGCTAAGTTTTATAACATCCTAACTTGACAATTCTAGTTACGCCCTGGCGTAACTGATATGTGGCGTAATTGATATGTGTGAATGGATTTATTTTTCTAATAGCAATAACAATATCTTCCTGCAAAAGCGTAACTTTGATTATTTGGTAAACCTACATTATATGTCACAACATTATATGAATACCATATACTATATTCCGATTGACACAGCAGAGCAATAAAATATTATACATAAAGATGTAAAGGATATCTTCGCTTACTTGGTCTACTAGTAATAAAGTTATCAGCATTATATGGTAAAGCGTATTTGATAAAATAGCTGTCTACACAACTTGGCAACTCAGCCAATGGATATAACGATAGAAAACTATAATTTATGTTGGGGTTTGAAAATATTACAGAGTCATTATGTAGAAATCTACAATTAAGTTAAAATATTTACCACAGCTGCATGCCGCAGTAGAGCCATCTCTAGGATCAGAAACAAATTAATTGAGAGGGCAAATCAACCTTAAGGGACTTAACAAATCATTATATGATAAATTCTAAAATACCTGCTCTAATGAAAATGCATTTCAGGAAAAAACCTACTAAGATTTTAACAAAAAATGATGACCATTCTCATTTATAAATAAGGAATATCACAAATTTGAAGAAAAGAAACAAAAACACCACAAACAATTCAGAAATGCTTACAAGAAATGTTTTAAAGAAGACAAAAATGCCATATGTTAAGAGCTTATCGGAAAAATTAAAATATATGAAATAAATACATCATCACAACATTAAAAACAACAAATACACTTAGAACTGTTCTGTCCAAAACCACACCTAACGAACAAGAGAGATCAAAGAACTGCATCTGTAAACTACCTTATGAATGCAACAATTTCAGACCGCAAGCATGAAACATACATACATCAAAAACGTGCAATCACATACTACGTGGAATAGTAAACGTAGACCCATGCGTGTTTCTTAATAAAATAACAAATTAAATTAAAATACAATATGAGTAGAATAAAATACAATAAAATAAAATAAATTCAAAACCATCGCTCCGTGCGTAGACGATTATAAAACTATGCCTCCATTCCTCGATCATTCCCGGAGAGCCACATCCCGTTTTTGCCTTATAAGATACTTAACATAAATATACCAATGTCTCATGCCCCTTTTGTTTCCATTTTTAACCACGAAAAATAAACAGTTTTATTTTGTTCCCCGGTACAATCAGTCTGAATGGAGATAGGAAGTAAGCGGACAATATGTAAATAACTCATAAAATTTTTATTTTGGTAATAAATAACTGTTGATTGACGGGAGCAAAAAATTTCAATATGGTTACAAGTGTAGTTATTGTCACTTTTACCTTTGGTTACAAGCCGTTATTGTCACTTTCACCTTTCACTAAATGATAGTCATAATATTGTCGATTAGGAGTTTAACGTTACTCGGTTGTTGACAGAAAAAAAACGTTATTTTACTACAATGTACCATATTGTTGCGTATTGTTAATTAATTTATGACAGATATATTTTTATCACTAGTCATTGTTATGTAAGTATGTTGCAAGAGTTTCAGAAAAACACATGAAAATAAGCTATAAAGAAAAGCAAAAATCTAATTTTGTATCGAATTAAGGAAATGATTATCTGTAATCTCTATTCCTAAATTGTTATAAATAATGATAAAATAGATCATTAAGATGAAATTATACAAGGTTTTTTATTCCTTTTAATAAGTAGATTTCTTAAATAGTCAACAATATGATATATTTGCAGCTGATATCGGTATCATTATGATACAGCCCTTAAAGGGACTTGAACTTCTCAAGCTTTCTGCGCCATTCTTTCGCTTGCTTTGATTTTCCAGTTGGTAAGTTCGATCTTTTCTGTCGGGGTTACACATTCTATGTAACCCCGTCTATCGTCTATGGCATATTATTCCACTTTTTTTCTCTAAATTAATAACTAAGATTCTGAACTACTTGATGGGAGTCTTTGTCACTCAGAATGCTATTTTAAATTATTTTACATTTTGTTATTGAGACAGACGCCTGTGCCTATAATAAAATGAAAAAAAAAGCCTGTTTGTTTATTATAAATTAATGTATCCTCCAATTGTTTTATCCTATCTCAATATTGCAGTGAATCTTCCAAAAATCCACTTCTCCGGTTATATGTAAGTCTGCTTTTTGATTTCTCATTTAGTGACATTATCCTACTATATTTCACTATTAATATTCTATGTTCGTTTTCTTTTAAACTGTTTTTATACCAAGGTACAAATCTTTACTGATTACATTACATTTTTATAACACTATTTTGCAATTACCTTATTAGGATCAGTCAGGGTAATTGGAAACACTATTTGAAATTTCATGATGTCTAAGCATTTGAAATTTACTTAAAAATATATTGTTTCATATTTTAATAAAATAAAAGCTTTTGGTTATTATAAGTAAAATTTACGGTAGTAAAAACTAGTAAGAAAAAGATACAAAAAAGAAGATATCTACCGTTTCCATTTACCCCACACATTTTAAGAAAAAACTAAATGTAAACAACGGTCTCTGGTCCTGTTAACCATAATCTAAACGAAATTGGATTAAAATGGTACATAGTTTGTAATATAAAAATCGTGCAAGTTGGTTCCATTAAACACACCAATGTTTCTAATTACCCCGAAAATATCAAATAAGCTAAGGAAACTTAAAAAAAAAATAATATCAAAATAAAATACATAGGTATAACAAACGAATTTTTAAAATCATAAATATTCACTTGTTGACTGACGTTCAAAAATATCCTTAACTTATATCCATAACTTATTAGAAAGCTTGTAAAACATTCTTTCACCTTTCATAAAAATATTTGGCTCAGGGGCTATACCAATAATTTGTTCGCAGTTAACGAAACTAATGTCAGTTTCCTGTATAGCAAATTGCTTGCAGGTACTATTCATACATCTTCATATCCTTTACCGCCATCGAATTCTACTAATACCTGTTCATCCCATGGACTGTCATCACTCTCAGCATAAGATACTTCTATTTCACTTGCATCAAATGACGACAATGACTCTTTACGTTTCTTTGTATTTTTACTTGATACTGGAGTTTCAAGTGAATCGGCAATTTTTCCAACTTAATTTCTTTTTCCATTTCTTTTCTGCTTTCTAAGATCCTCTTGTTCCTTCATTCTGTTCAAAACGTCACTAGCAGTTAATACTTCTCCATAGGCCAACTGTTTTAGCTGAGGGATTACCTTTTTCTCTGTGGGAGCAATTTCTTTAATGTCACAATATGGTTTTCAATTTTGTCTGACAATGCAGTAGACATACCAACTCCCATCTTATCAGTTGGTATGTTTTTACCCTTTATATGATTGTAAATAATGCATTGTGGAATACTGCAGCAAGCAGCAACCCCCTATATGTTCTTTTTTTTTGTTTTCACATCTGCCATGACATTTACTAAATCATTTATAGAGTATTTTGGTGGTTCTCTCTTTCTTATGTACTTCCTTAGCATTTTGAAAATAGCAAGACCAGTAACAAAATAACTCCCTTAACAGAAAAAAATATGATTTCCATTTACTTCACGTTGTTTCAATTTACCCCCAACAGATGTTTTCATTTACCCAATATTTAAGGGGGTAATTGTAAACACTTAAGTAATGTACTTACTTCTAGTAGTAAATAACCTTCAAATTAACTACTATTTATAACTGGGAATAAGCCACAATTAAAGATAAAAATACGTTTATTGACGTTTCAATTTCCAATTCGGAAATCGTTCTCAAAATACAAACAGTAAATTAAACAAATTTTGTTTTTTGTTACATAGTGAAAAAATTCTTCTAATAATTTAATTTTATCTGACTCATTTATATTGACAATTCAGACATACATTATGCATTTTAAAGTAGACGACTTTAAAATGATATTGCCAATATTGTTGAGTTGCGCTCCTGGGACGACTTTACTTATAAGATAGTTCATTCGATTACATGAAATCAACTTTAACTTGAGAATATCCGTCAGAAAAAATCATACCATGTAATTCGTCTTTAAAAAGACAAACACATGACATGATGACAGTAAAATTCTCCTGTTAGTGATTCCATAGTAAATTATGAGGAAAAAACCAGGAAAAAAACCTCATAATACTATCCCGACATTGTAAGTATTTGTTCGTAAATTTAGTTTACCTTCAACAAACATCAAAATTCTGATTTTATATGTTACGTTATTTAAAAAACATAAATGATGTATCCGCTATATGTTACTGACTTACTAATACTGGTATTTTCTTATTAATAACTTCCTCTTTCAATATTGGTAACCAGATCCTACTACATTCTGCCGAGGAATTTGCGACACAATTGGCCTCATTTAGCATAATTAGAGCCGCTTCTTTGATTTTTCTTTTTTTGCCATCCGTTTCTTTTAGGACTATATTTGAATTATTCCATTGAACCCTATGTTCATTATCCCATGCGTGTTTACATATTTGAGATCTATCAAATTCTCTATTTTTTATATAAGATTGATGTTCACTTATTCTAACATTTAATGGCCTTGATGATTCACCTAAATAAAACTGATCGCATTCACAAGGTATTTTATAAATGCAATTCTTTGTCCTTTCTTGTTCATTGTTAGGTTTGGTTTTGGACAAAATAGATCTCAACGTGTTTGTTGTTTTGAATGTTGTTGAAATGTTGAATTTATTTCCTATACTTTTAAGTTTTTATTTAGGTGAATCATCAAGGCCATTAAATGTTAGAATAAGTGAACATCAATCTTATATTAAAAATAGAGAATTTGATAGATCTCAAATATGTAAACACGCATGGGATAATGAACATAGGGTTCAATGGAATAATTCAAATATAGTCCTAAAAGAAACGGATGGCAAAAAAAGAAAAATCAAAGAAGCGGCTCTAATTATGCTAAATGAGGCCAATTGTGTCGCAAATTCCTCGGCAGAATGTAGTAGGATCTGGTTACCAATATTGAAAGAGGAAGTTATTAATAAGAAAATACCAGTATTAGTAAGTCAGTAACATATAGCGGATACATCATACATCATTTATGTTTTTTAAATAACGTAACATATAAAATCAGAATTTTGATGTTTGTTGAAAGTAAACTAAATTTACGAACAAATACTTACAATGTCGGGATAGTATTATGAGGTTTTTTTCCCTCATAATTTACTATGGAATCACTAACAGGAGAATTTTACTGTCATCATGTCATGTGTTTGTCTTTTTAAAGACGAATTACATGGTATGATTTTTTGACGGATATTCTCAAGTTAAAGTTGATTTCATGTAATCGAATGAACTATCTTATAAGTAAAGTCGTCCCAGGAGAGCAACTCAACAATATTGGCAATATCATTTTAAAGTCGTCTACTTTAAAATGCATAATGTATGTCTGAATTGTCAATATAAATTAGTCAGATAAAATTAAATTATTAGAAGAATTTTTTCTCTATGTAACAAAAAACAAAATTTGTTTAATTTACTGTTTGTATTTTGAGAACGATTTCCGAATTGGAAATTGAAACGTCAAAAAACGTATTTTTATCTTTAATTGTGGCTTATTCCCAGTTATAAATAGTAATTAATTTACAATGCCACAAGAAAATAGCTTCAGAACAATACTTCAAATTAACATTTAGGCAATATAAGGATTCTCATAGTAGCTATAAATTATATAATTACTACTTACCTAATACAGAGAGATGAAATTTGTAAAATATTGGCATAAATTGATTTGTGTTTAAAAACAATCAAATTTAAGTTGCACAAAATGGGGATTCACTTGGCATGTAAACAACTGAAGGACATTTCACAGAATAAGCAAAGATGGAATTGTAATTTTGTGTATGTAACATTGTTGCCATATTTCATTTATAAACATAAGGAGTACTGTTTCCAATTACCCACACTGAACTAGGGCCATCATGTTATCAAAGATATATCTACCATGTTTCTACAATTCTTCTTCAAGTACTTCTACCTGCCTAATCTTTTTTTATTGACAAATCTTGTAATATTATGCTCTGTATTTTAATATCAGGTTAACAACTATATAAATGTGCTGTTTCTAGATAAGCAAATATTAACAAATCTACTTCTCAGCCACAAATAAAGAATGACGATGATGATCAATGCTTACCATACACTTGAAGAACATGTTATAGGCATTGCTTCTAAATGGTTGATGAGTAACAATAATACAAAGTACAATTTCTCTGATATGAAACTACATAGTATGAATGCACAAATTTAAAGTTATCTATATATTATAAATCTTGCTTATTCACATCAATTTGTTTTGATTTTTACCCTAGTATAACATGTTCTGCCTAATTTTTTTTAAAGCTATTGTTAAGACTTACCAGCTAATGCTATCAATTTTTTACATTTAGACATCTTCATAACCACATAGCTTTTTAGGTCTTCAAATGTTTTAACTGAAATCCAACTTTTATTATTGTAAAAGTATAAAACACCATGTTCTGAAAACACTACAAAGTTGCCAGATAACAAAATACCAACAATTTTTGGTTTTTCACTATTTGGAAGACAAATTTTTTCTTCTTTTATATCATTGTATAGAGAAAATGCATATACTCCACCATTTCCTCCCCCACTAAGTACAACATTATCTTTTTCATCAAAATCTAATGCCCATATTGGACTATTTTGGTTAGCTTCCACTTTTCTAGCCAATTTTCCATCTAGTTTCCAAATATTTATTAATGAATCTTCACCAGCAGTGACAAAACAGTCCTTTAATACCAAGCAACGGAATACTCTCGATAAATGACCATAAACTTGGCATATTGAAAATATGTTGGGATGTTCTCTGTTCAGTTCTAAACTGAGATCAGTATTTTCTACTTTCCACAATATAGCTGAACGGTCATCTGAAGTAGAACATATTATACCATTATCTTCATTGTAATGTATACAAAATATTACACCCTAAAAAATAATTTTACTAATAAAAGTCAATATACACAATATATCTATACATTCAAAAAATAATAAAAATTGTACAGCATTAATGAGGCACTAAATAGGCATTCATTTATTTTAAAAATCAAGCATTGTAAAATAAGAACAAAACTTTTATGTACAAATTTAAATGATCAACTGATAGAATAAAACTAACAAGATTCAAAAATAATGATCTGAAGATTAGATATATCTCAGGTGAATAACTTATAACTTTATATTTTAAGGTAATAAAGAAGATAGGAAAAGAACATACAATTTTCTTGAAACTGAAGGGAATATTTGAAACCTGAGGAAGCAAATAAATAATTTATTTTATAATGTATGACTTATTTCCAAAAAATACCTGATAAAACTTGGATGTCAGAGACATATTTTTAGGATATTACTGAGTGATATCTGTCCACTTAAATCATGAGATTATTGTAAACTAACACAAACAAAATAAAAATCAATAACCAAATACCAGAAATATTCACTAACATCATGTTTCTTTAACCTTTTAAGGACTGGAACATTGGTGAATTCATTTCGTTTAACTTTCCATATCAAAACTTCATTAAAAACTGTTCCAGACAGTAACACTAACTTATCATAATCATTATAACAAATATGTGCACTATATAAAATACATTTTTCTTGACATTCAAATGTCTCCAAAAAGTTTAATTGATTATCCCATATTTGAAGTTTGTTCTGCATAGAAATTGTGGCGATTTTGCTTTCATTATTTATAAATTTAGCTTCTAGGATCCAATCTTTGTGGGCAACTCTATGTATTTCTTTTATGTGAGTGAAGTGTTGATCTGTAGAAAATATTAATAGAAATGGACCACCAAACACGAGGAGTTTATTTTTCTCAAAAAGTTTAATTCCAAATATTAGTTCTCCTCTGGTATCTTCTATATTTATTTTATTAATTAATTTATCAGTGTTGTTACAAAACACATGTAATGTGGAACCAATTCCTAAAAAAAATAATATTTATCACTTAACTGTACAGTGAACACATTTGGTGTACAAACCTACTAAAGTCACATTTTTATGTCTTGCGATCGCTGTAACATCTGTTTTAATTAATTGGGATTTGAATTGTAACATTATTGTTTTTCTAAATTTGTGCGCATAACCTCACATTTTAAACAGTGTTTGTTTTGACATCAAAAACCTTGACCCCGTGATTTTGAGTCAAGTTTTAAAGATATAGGACAAAAAAATTAATGACGTCAGTAAGTACAAACTGAAAAAAAAATAAATAATATTTACAATATTTTCCTTTCGTGAATTCTAAAATAATATATTTTTATCTAACATTAACTAGTTAAAGATCTAATATTCCAGATTTCAATTTGATAATTTCTTTAAAAAATGCATACTTATATTTGATTCTAAAAACTCTGTTCCAATCGATTCCTGTGTTCTTTGATGTTTGGCTTATACCACGGTAATCCTGCATATCCTGCACATTTATCGATCATTTTTGGCCACACTTTTTAAGACTTGAACCGCACTCCAGATAACATTTGGTCCAACAAGATTGAATGCTTCTCATCTGCGTTACTTAGATTTGTTTTTAAATATAATAGGTAGATACTGAAACTTTAACTTTTATTATCATTGATGATGAAAATTTTTTTCGCGTATTCAGCAGACCTGGTAGAATGTAGAATAGATATTTACGGACAATATAGATAAATGTGGGCCTTACGATTTTTTGTTTTTCTCGAGTTTTATTCAACATTTCTTCCTGTTTTGCTAGTTATCAGTTGTAGATTTCTGATTGAAATTCACGCATATTCCTCGTTTTATTTCGTTAAGTAGATATTACAATAGTAATATGACAGCTTTTCTTCCGTCATCCTTAATGTTTTTTCTAATAAAATACAGATAAATAAGTCCCCTATCACTCCTGAACAAACCACAAGATATGCTTCGCTCCCGTACTTAGCACAAATCACTAATGATATCTTTCGTATTTGTCTTTTTTCCTATTGTTCTATTTGTAAGAGTCTTTACAAACTCGATACAATTTTTAAATTAGGTAAGTATTCAAACTATTTGGTATATCAGTGCGTATCCAGAGTTCATAAAAATAAATTATTGGGTATTCTAATAAAATGTAGCAAATATGCTACAACATGCATTTTATGCTTTTTTTTATTTCAGGGCGATGGACAAAAAAAGGGATTTTCGAAAACCTTTGACAAACCAGGAGTTGAAAAAGTTGGCAGAACGTTTTCTTGAAAGTGACGATGATCTGGAAAAATTGGACGAAGATAATTTATGTGAAAACGTTGATAATTGCTAAGAACGGGCTACTCAAAAGTTAAGGATCCTGTGGATTACGCCAATTTGGACATTGAAAATATTCAAATTATTTTTGAGCATGAACTAGATGGTGTAGAAATAACCAATTCGAACGATGAAAATAATAATGAGGCAGTTCTTGTCGACGAAATAATATGAGAATGAAGACGCGAACGTCACAAAAGAAAATATATTTTTAAGTACACTTGATAAAAGACGCATTCATATCTATTTGCTGGAAGCAAGCATCTTTTGAACAAAGTGTTCAGGGTGCAACATTTAGAGGTGATGAAAATCTCCCAACAAATATACTGGACTTATCAACACTTTATCAGTTCTTCACGTAAAACCTAATAAGTCAATTATTCCTTTTGCAGTTTAGTATGTAATTTGTTGATTTTTTCCAGATACTTTTTTACCGATGAGCTATTTGAGAAAATCACTAACGAATCGAACCTCTACAGCAATCAAAAAAATATTTCAAAACTGGCGAATATAACGACTGGAAAAATAAGTACATTGGTATCTGCATTTATATGTCGGTAATAAATATGTCAAATATCAGAAGATACTGGTCCGAGGAATATAGATTTGAAAAATAAAAAACTCGATGAGTATCAATCGACTTGAATCGTGAAATGCTACACTACAATGAAAACACGAAAATGCTTCCTAAAGATCATGCGGATCATAATCGTTTGCATAAATTGCTGCCAGTTATTGACTCTGAACAAAACATTCCAAACTGTTTAATTTAAAAAGTGTCTATTATCTGTAGATGATTGTGCAACAAAGGCCCGACACTACATGAAACAGTACATGCCATTAAAGCCTCACAAATGGGGCTATAAATTATTTGTTTTATCTGGTGTTACGGGATATGCGTACCAATTTGAAATATACTCGGGCCAAGAAGTACTGTTTTCAAAATGAGTCTGACCTTTGGGCTTCAGCAAATGTTGATATACGCGTGTGTCGGCCAATTCCCAAAAACTGCAATTACATTGTCTATTTTGATAATTATTATACAGGAATTCCTCTGATGCCATATTTATTATCAAATGGCATTGTTTCGTTAGGAACAGTGAGAAGGAATCGTTTGCCTAACTGCAATATTTCGAGATAAATTGTTTTTATGAAAAAAAAAAAACGAGGTTCTTTCGAAAAATATGTAACTTATTTTCAAAATGCTCCGTTTGTCTCAGTTTTATGGCTGGATAATAAAGCATTCACATTACTTTCTACATACACGGCTTCTTCTCCAGTTTTAGAAGTGAAAAGGTTTCATAAAAAAGAGAAAAAACGAGTGGAAGTACCATGTCCAAACTTAGTGTTAGAATATAACAAACATATGGGCGGATTGGATCTTTTAGATAGTATTTTAGGGCGTTACAAAATCTCAATGAGAATCAGAAAATGGCACTGCAGAATTTTTTATAATTTAGTTGACATTACCATCATTAACGCATGGCTACTCTATCGGAGGGAAGAGAGGCAAATGGGAAACACAGCCACAATGTCAATGGAAAAAATTCGTGCTGAAATCGCCAATTGTCTGTGCAACGTTGGGCAGAATGGTTCAAAAAAGGGGAAGGCCATCTTCTTCACTTGACCGAAATTTAGAACAGTAAAAGAAAAAATCATCTTTAACAGCAATTCCTCCAATATATGTAAGAACTGACAACTTTGGTCACATTCCGAACTAGGGTAATACCAGGCAACGATGTAAAATACCCGGCTGGAAAGGATTTTTTTTATTTTTTGTGAAAAATGCAAAGTTTAGCTATGTCTGAATAAAAATAAAAATTGTTTTGGTCACTTCCATTAATAAACTGTTAATGAAAATGGAACTCTTCAATATTTTATATGTAGCAGATATGCTACATGATGCATTGTAGGGTTAAGATCATTTTTCTTTTTTTGTGTCATAAGTGCATGTTCTAGCATATGTGATACATTAAAAAAAAAATAAAAAAATATATAATAAAAAAGCAAAAGATTTTTTAAAATATTTTTTACCCATTCACAGCACTAATACCTAATCAAAAATATATTTTTTAAATAAATTCAAAATCATGCATTGTAGGGTTAAAAAAATCTTAAAGGAACTGATTTCCAATTTCCTTCACACAGATAATTTATTACACATCTCAAACTTTACAAAACCGATCAACAAACTTTGCTAGGATGCGGAGCTAACCGATGAAATGACCTATTTACACACATATTAGAAAAGCGACACCCTAGCGGAGCACCCTGTATAAAAAATCTTCGTTGTCTTATCTTATACTAGCGAACAAGTACTCTTGCACAGTTACGGTCCCGGCATCACATGGTCCACCGGTCAAGGTCGAGCACCTGAGACTCAGACTAGCCAAAGTTTTGAGTTCTAACGGTCACCACCAGCAACAAACAGTCAACCAGCTTAATAATCAACGTGGGTTTTACCCTGAAGAACTAGAGGGGATTTACAAGGAGTTTATGAATTATTATGAGTAGGTTTTAAAAAATACATAGAACAAACTATGGAAACCTTCAGAGAACGCATACCAGAGCACAAATAGACAACAGTCAACAGGATGTCGAAAAAAGTCTATTCAAAATTAAAATTAAGAAATTACGTGTAAATAAGGGCGTTATTCCAGCTTACTTAAGACAAATCGTAAAAATAATGCAAAACTACTATAAATTAAATTATTTATTAAAATAATAGATATGAATTTTGAGATTCAGCTTTCTTTATGATTGAATTTTCAAGTTTTTGTGATGATCCTCAGATGGATAGTAAATTATTTTCAAATTTATTTGCCAATTGTTGAATACACTGTAGATTACTATATTAATCTGTTCACTTATTTATAGGTGTATTCTAAGGTAATGCATATGATATCTACTTTTATCTTCTAATAATATGACTCAAATACTTTATTTTTTTTACTTTCCTGAGCGAACACTAAATACTTCTATTTGCGTCAAAAGCGCGCGATTAACTGAACGGTAACACAACTCATTGTCTTGTTTCTTTTCTGTAGATGGGTTCTTTGTCTGATGTTTTGGGTCCTGTTTTAGGGTTTTCACCTCTTCAGGACGTGATTTGTTTTTTGTTTGGTGTTGTTTTTTCTTTCACTGCCTTCGTGGATTCTACTGGTAGTTTGCTTCTTGGACTTGTCGGTGGAGCGTACTGGACAATGAGAGGCGTAAGGGGTGTTGGTTAACGGTCCTTTTCAGAAGTTATTGTTCTAAAAAATATTATGGATATGTGAATTTATATGTTTACAATTTGATAAATAATAAATGTGATCAATCGCGATTCGCGTGAGAGCAGCTGTGGCTGTATCCTCTGCAATAGACAGGTATCATTGTGCAGTGGGATCGGGAAATCACAGAAAACCGATCTCTCCCTGTCTAGGCAAGCTCGAAGTGAGCATTTAGTAATTATTGCATGAGGGAGCTCTTTGCTGGCAAGGTCCAGTAGTATTGCAGGTAGGAAAGGGATTTTGAATTTAGGTTTTCTTCTGAATACATTGCCGATAGATGAGCAGGTAGTTTTCAATATGTATTGGGCTCTGAAGTTTTGGCCACTTATGGTTTTGATTGTGTAACTCCCGCTCAGAGAGCAGAGCCTCTCATCGATGGGCTGGATATTCGACAGGTGATGAATGTGAGTGAAGGGGTAGTTGCGGCGCTTGTTCTTCACTCTACGCAGGATTCTCGTCTCCAATGCTAGCAGTTTTTGTGTGAGATGGCTGCGCATCGTCATATAGATTGGATCTATACTCTATGACCGGCCTAATAAATGTTTTATATGTATGTATGAGTGAGGGCGGGTGTGTTCTTCCG